CTCTCTCTCTCTCTCTCTCTCTCTCTCTCTCTCTCTCTCTCTCTCTCTCTCTCTCTCTCTCTCAGAGTAGGACTGGCTCCAGGCAGTTCAGCATGATCACACACACAAGGCCGACACATCAATTCAAAAGACCTCAGCTATAACAAAACGTCCAGTTCCGTTTTAATAAAGAGGCTGACTGACAGACTGTCTTCATTGGTTAACATGATCATTCATCTTAAAATTCTTAAGTCATAATGCCAGTACACCATCATTTGGTCTTGTTTTATTGTTATATTCCCTTATAAGATTAAATGCACTAGTGCTGTGCTCTATCTAAACCTGCCGGTTTGGGACGGGGTGTTGTTTTTGTTCTGTGTTAATGCAATTATTCCTTCAGTGAGTCCTCCTTTAACAGTTCTACAGTATACTGTCACTTTTTATTGTTTGAGTGCTGGATGTTGTGTGCAGAGCTTTTTATAAACAGTCCATGGTGCAGAGTGAAAACTTAGTGTTCATCCTACCTGGATTATCTGCAATGAAGACTTTTAAGTCAAAATAGCTCTTGTAATTCATTTCAATGTAAAGCATCGCAACAGTGACACGAACATATGATCAAATAAAATCATGAAATTATCAAAATGACCTGTCTTCAATTTTGATCTGCAGTTCGACCCAGTTGCTAATCACTGCTGTAGTTAAACAGAAGACATCAAACTCAATCCACAGACTGAAGGCCCACTGCCCCTCCCCCCCAGACTGCAACAGATTGCGGGTCCCCTGTTTATAAATACTTTATTAATATAGAACATATCTTGTCTCCAAGTCGCAACAAACCCAGCACTGCACTTTCTCTGACAATTTATAATATGCATCCCAAGTGAGAAGTTGATTAGAAGAAGGGTTCATGAGATTTGTGTTTCACATACAGACGTTTGTGGAAATAGTTTGTAGATCTTTTCAACTCATTGAACCTGAAGAATGATGACAAAATGATAAGAACGTTTCAATCAACGAGTTAATGTGAACATGAATCTATTATTAAATACACTAATGTAATTTAACAGGTCTCCACATTTCCTAACTACATATCAACTCTCTATTTACAAAACTGCAAGATAAGCAACCATAGAGCAGATACAATATGGATTCTTTTTGAAACAGCATTGAAACTCCTGAGATGTCTTATTCACTCAGGAACATGACTCCAACACATGAAACAGATTTGCAGTCATGTAAAACACCAAAGGTAAAAATCAGTAAACATCCTAACCTCACTGGAACTGTCTCAGAAAGAGAATGACGGTCGGTGCTTTTCACTTCCTTTTTAAATCTGGATGTCTCCGCTTGGTATTCGCTCCCCACTGAAATGCTAAAATCTCACATTCGCAGGAGTCGGGGTTTGGCAACTGTTCTGCCTTCTCATACGCAACTGACATCCATGAAAGCAATTCTTCGGCGAACTGACATCTCTCTCTCTCTCTCTCGCTCTCTCTCTTCCTTCTCTCGCAGTCCAACGACTTACTGAATAGGATCTGCCTGGAACAGATCAGCCCAATGGTGAACAAGACTCAAGTGAAAGGGGGCGGAGGAGGGGGTGGAGGTGCTACGTATGTATTCAAGGTAAGTGGGTGCTGAGGAGTCAGGGAGATCATTTATACTTGATTCTGGTTATAGACATTTTTATGGTAACGTCTATGTTGTTAAATTAGTTTTATTCTTTGTCACTAAGTCTGCATTGTCTTATTTTTGAGGCAGGAAGATTGTCTAAATCCACCACATATATCGAATCCCCATTTCTTTATTATGTGTAGGTTGAGTTGAGTTAGGAGGTCAGACAGATAACAACTGGAGCAAGGTGCATAAAATCTCTGTGAGAGGAAGACACAACAATGATTTGGCAACATGAGCCAACGTTTATATATAATTGTCCAATATCATAGCTTCACATAAAAATCACTGTGGTGATTGTGACTTGGTGAGATTATAAAACAAGGCCTGACTTGGTGATGGCAACACAACCGTTAACTTGTTAACTTTCTGTAAGGCTCATCTGCCTCGTCTCCCTGATGCATCCAGTTTCAGAATAAATACATTTGCTTAAGTTTCAAGCTCAGGCATGTTATTTCAGCCATATCTGTGAATGAAATTGTGTCTCTTGAGATAATAAAAGAAAGTCCAGAAAACACTAATTCCTAAACCCTGCAACACAATCATTTAAATTTACATTTAGGGCATTTAGCAGGCGGTTTTGTCCAAAGCGACTTACAATAAGTAAATTTGTCACAAGATCTAACGATACTTTCACAAAGTTTCTCTTACCACGAGTAGAATACATATACAGGTTTTGGAAGTACAAATGCGTTCTCACCATTCAAGTACTTCATGTTCATGGAAAAGATAATATCAGTGGCCTGTTTGCATGAAGCTCTAGAGCCCAGCCACCAAGGAGACTTGAGTTATGTTGGGCTCTACTCTAAGTGAGCAGATAAACTGACCAACAGGCCCGTCTTTAATAAACCTATATATTCCTGATCTTCTCCCTATTGCTTCATATATGAGTCATATCATCTCATATGCGTCCCAATGTCCCCCAAATCTCCTCTAAACAACAGACTCCTCTAAATAAGTGTAACTCTAAACAATAATGATGCAGGTGGAAAAAGATGTGCACATCCCCCTCATCATTGCTGCTGGGGGAGGAGGCCGGGGATACAGCAGCCAATCAAAAACCCAGCTGGAGCAAATGGACTACGACCCCAACCAGCCGGGACGCAATGGGAAGTCGAGCGCAGCAGGTACAATACCACAGCTTTGATGTGTGTTGGTACCATGTACATATGTGTGCAGCTGATTGTGTAGTGATTATGTTCACATGTAACTCAGTATACTCAGTGCATTGTAGTGAGGGTATGAGATATCGAGGCCATGAAAGACGAGTAGAAAACTAATACTCCATTACTGTGCAGTATGGTTTGTCTTTCCCAGCTTAAAGATGAGACCATGAGTGTTTAATGTTCTCTTCTGCATGGATCCACAATCCAAGACCATGTTTACAGGAGGCCTGAGGTGGAACTGTATTTGCATATCTAACTGTGCTGGTTTATCCAGAAGGTGTTTACTTCTCTTTTAATGTAGAAGTGCAAAAGACGTTCCACCTCTCTGCCCTAGTGTTTGTGTTTTGGCAGAAAACAGTCTACTCGTGATAATTCATATTGAGCACTTTGTCCTCCGTTGCTGCTGGACACAGCTGTGTATCATTGCATCTGTGCACGCTGCAGGCTCAATTATTCATGTGCTCGGAATTGACAATCGGCCCAGAAAACATAAGATATTGATACTTAGATCTACACAAAGCCCAAGGTTTACTTTTGAGGAAACTTGTGAATGAAAAATTAAATATTCAGCACGTCCCTCTGTCTTTTCAATTGTTTGTCTGGCTCAGGCTTCAAACAAGAAGGAGGAACACAGGAGGGGGGGAATGAAATTGGCTGGTGTTCAGGAGTATTGGAGGGATTAGTTTGAACTTCATTAGCTGTAACTTTAATCTTGAGTTAGCAGATCTCCTCCAAGAGATTTTGAGGTTTGTAAAATCTCTGCTCTAACCTGTGTTATTATCACTAATTACGGTATTGTGTAATGTGTGTGTGTGTGCCTGTATACATGTCACATGCATTTCTGTAGCTCCACATCTTTTCTCCAATATTTTGACCCACTTAAAACGTCTCTCCCCTCGCTCTCTGTCTCTTCACACACACACACTGTGATTCACAACCAAAGCCTTTTACTTCACATTATCATATGTGTGTCTGCTAACAGGTGGAGGAGGGGGTTGGAACGATAGCCTTCCTGCCAATCAGGGTGGCAGACCACTGGTGCTGGGGGGCCAGGGAGGGCAGGCCTGTCAAAAGTACTGGCTGACCCATGGGGGCTTCGGTGGCGGCGGCGGCGGCTGCATGTCTGGTGGTGGTGGCGGAGGCTACAGAGGTTAGTCCAAGAGATTTCCAAGGTTTCTCTGAGATGTCCAGAAAGAAAGTTTAATGAATAAATCATCTTGGGCTGCCAGGTATGACAGGACTGTTCATCTCGTGTTGTGCTTTATATGTTTTACACTGAACGTGACAGGGTGACATGTGTCAGGTCCTCTCTCAGTAACTGCTCAATCCGCTGTATATCTCTCTGGATGTGGCTCTAAAACATTTAAACACTGCATTTAAACCTGATAGGGCTGGACAGTCAATCAATAATGAATATTTTTTGCAATATTCTTTTCATCAATACCAATGTAACAAATGTGTTTGTCATTGTCTGCCCATAAAGAAGAGTTTCAAACCACAACTTTCAGATACAAAAGTCAGTTTTTAGATTTAAAAGTACTGATAACATGACATTTATCATGATAATTATCAATATCAACCGATATGAAAATTTGTATCTTCATCTAATATTTGGCCATAACAGTGAGAGCTCACAGAACGACTCTGGTTTTGGAGGTAAATTTCCCAATTAAGCTCTGTGACTGTTGTGTGAAATACACTTTAATGGTCCTCAGTAGAGAAGTGGGTCATCACAGTAATACACAATAGTACACACAAGGCATGAATAGAAACATCTAAATTAAAAAAGAAACATAAGTAACACTGAAAGAAACATGATAGTAAGCATAATGCAAATAACTGTTACTGTACATTAAAATACAGTGTTATAAAAAGGGTTTGATATGATGATAAAAACAATATATGTTAAAAAAAATGGATTTGGATTAGAGCAGATGGATGACAGATGTAGAAGTCCTGTGTGAACAGTATCATCATCTGTCTGGATGATGTGTGAAATGAGCTCTTACAGGATTTTGACTAATTCCCATTGAATGTACCGCGTCCTAACAGGTGCAATAATAATTATGACACTGAGGTTTTGTGTTTGTCCCTCTTGTTTTTAGGTGGTAACACGTCCATAGATAATAACCCCGAACATGATGGTGATGATGGCACGTCTTTTCTGGGTCCAGAAGGAGAGTCCTTCCTCTATCCTCTGAAAGGTACTGTGAATGATTCCTGGCTGTTTTCAAAATACAACCGCTCATCAGTCAGCACATCTGATCCTTTTGTAGTGTTTGCAGGTGAGAGTTTGGTGAAAGATGTCTTTGTACTTAGAAATTGATGGTAAAAATTGTTTTTCAATTGACATGTTGAATTAGTGTCTGTGGTGGAGCATCAGGTTTGCCTTCGACAGTAAAGAAATAGATTCGCACAGCAAGATGAGAACAAGTTTCTTCACTCTGTGACATCAGAAAAGGACTTTGTAGAAGCGTAGAGCAGATATGGACAGTTGTTCCATGAAGAGCCAAAGACGGGAGTTTTTCCTCCCAGCCAAAGGATATAGAACAGATTATTTTTATTGATTATCATGCCTCCACACAGAGAGCAGCAAGTGAAAAGTCATATTGTTGAGTGTAATCCTGCTGACCCACCTCTGCTATCCTTCTTGTACCTTTAAACTTGACAGTTACTAAAAACACGTTCTGAAGTTTCAGCTGTAGTGATAAGACATATTTAAAGAGTCCTTGGGTCCCGTGAAAGGCACTTTATAAATGCAAGCCATTATTATTATTATTATTAAGACATACATCAAGATAACCTCTTCACTGAGCTCCATAGAGAAATACAAAAAGGGCGAAATAGCAAATAGACACGGAAGTGCTTTTTAAAATTGTCTTTTATTGGACTTTAGTAAAGTACGCAGCCATCTCTCTCTACCATTGAGATTGAAAAGGCCGATGCTGTTGAGTGTCCTCGCATTCATCATCAATCTTATTTCATTTCCTCTAGGGGAGAAAAATGAAGTCCAGCTAAATAAGCAAAATAAGAGAAATTAGTTTTTTTCAAATGGTACAAAATTATGCATTTTGTAATTACTCATTATCCACATTCCTGTCTATGAATTAAATTATACAGCACCTTTCAAAATGATTAGTTTAAAATAAGCATCTACAGTCGACATTGATCTGTGCATCCAATAAAGGTTTCATATTCCAAAGAAGCTGCTACTTTCTAAAACATTGTCGGAGAAATCGAACACAGTTTTTTCCTGGAAAAGAAAAGAGAAAAAAGAACAGGATGATTTATAACCGTTGAATCAGCAAGCACCCAGAATCACTATCATAACACACAGGACAGAATATCGGGTTGCAATATCTGTTATTTGATAAAAGAATATCATCAGTGTAAAGGTCAGGTTATTTCCTTCTCAGCTTGAACTGCAAAGACAGGTTCACGAGCTTGAGGGGAAAAAAACGCAGCAGGTGAGGCTGGACACTCCTGCTGTGTTCATTGAAAGAGCTGACAGAAAAGATATAATCATTCCATTGATGTTGAGAGGGGGGGGGGGTGAATTACAGTGGTTTAATCCACTGAATACAGGCTGAAGGATGAAGAACACAGCGATCCAAGCATACAGCCATCACTATATGCTGCTAGGAACCGGAGGAAGCATGCATGTTATATTAGAGGCCAGGATATCTTCAATGGATCTCACTTGATCCTCTGTAGCGAAGAGAAAACGCAGCATAGAGGAAGAAAATGTCCGCACCTGTACAGATATTCTTGTTAAGCTTTCACAGTTGAACATTTGCGTCATGGCAAATACATATATCTCATTTAACAAAGGCAACAAGTTAAGAATTATGAGTAAAATTAGTAAGAGATCCATGATACAGAGGATGGCCATAACATCAGTATGCATGCAGTCACCATCTGCACTCCGTACATTTGTATTCTTCCTTTGAAACCTTTCAAGCGTTTCTAGGTTCAATTTATGTATTTGCACTTATAAAGCTGATAACAGAATGATGAGAGAAAATAGATTCTGCAGATGAGTGCATTTGCTTTGCTTACTAAACAGTGCAAGCATACACAGCCGGTCCATAACTAATTCATGCTAGACTGGTCTGTCCGTGCTTGCTGTGCTTTAGAATTAAGAGGATTGCTTTCTTTTAAAATCTACATAAAGGAAAGGATGTTGTTAAATCAGTTTCAAATATTTCACGGCAGTGGAGAACGGAGAGGCTGCAGGTTTTGTCCCACATGTTTAGTTCGACTGATTAACGCACCCCCGGTCACAATCTGGGAATTTATCTTGTGCAGGTTAAGATTAGGCTCACATGAAAATGTCCAGGTTTCACTACCCTCCACACAACATGATAAACCAGCTATGACTCATTTCATCTCATATATTGGACTTGCTGGGAAAAGCTGTTCATGAAATTAAATCGCGCTGCTGATGAAACAGAACGCACAGACGAAGACAAGTGAGCTGTGAACAGTTACACTGCGGCAATAAACCCATCGAGCATGAATGGAATTCTAATGTTGAACCCAGACTTTATCAGACCAGCAGCAGCAAACACCTGAATAAATCTTTTGAGCGGCATTACGCCTTTGATATGATTTAAGAAAAACACTGAAGTCCAGTGATTTACAGCAGTGACTGCATTTTCTATAAACCAGTGCAGTGCTTACACTTACCCTGCCTGTTTGGAATGTTTACTTGGCCTGTGGTAATATTGGTTGTGGCGTTCTGTCTGAAACTGTAAAAGTGACCTGTGGTTATTTAGCCTCAGCAAGTAAAGTTCAGCAGCTGGTCTCAGTCTACAGCACCCTGACGCTGCACCACTGCTGCTGCACAAAGAGCAGTTCGCTTCTTTATTCAAAGTCAGGTGAAGCTTGACTCAGTACGCAGAACCCTGAACTGGAGAAGTAATTGTTGTGAAGGTGCTGTTGTTGCGATCGAGTCCGTTGTTAGTCCCAGCATGTGGAAGCAAACCTTTATTCAATGACATGAGTCCAAGCTGCAGACATCTGGCACATCGTGTAACTTTGTCCACTGTTTCCTGGGTGATAATTACTGGAAAAACCTCATCATGCATTTTTTAATTGACATCATTTGGAGAAAATTGTAATTGTTGTGTTACTGAACTTTTCGTGTGACCCCTGTGTGTGTTTGCGTGTGTGTGTGTGTGTGTGTGCATCGGCCTAAAGCTATGGAGGGTGACGGCGAGGTGATCATCAGTCCGGTGCAGAACTGCAGCCACTGTGAAAGCGGTGAATGCCACGGGACCAAGGACAACATCAACTGCTACTGTGACGATGACCTCATCTTGGCACCAGACGGAGTCTCCTGCATCAACGCCACAGGTCGGACATACTTTTATATTGTATGAGTAATGTCTGCTTCTACCTTTTCACGCAAATATGTGAAATGAATTGAAAACGTAGGGATGAGTTAAGCTGCTTGCAATTATACCTGTAATAGACTATGACTCAGTGAATAGATAAAGAATGAATCTACAAAAGTAATTAAGCCTGGGAGGTTCTGTACTTTATTGAATCTTTATCTGAGGTAACATTTTTAATTAGTGCCTTAATCATTCATAGTAATTATCAATGTGCAGGATGAGCTAACCTGTTGAAAATGGATAAACCTAGAGGAGTGTTAGCTGGTGTTTTCTTTGATTTGTTAGCATTTATATCTGCACTGCTGTCAGATAAAAGCTTTTTATCTCAGGTCAAGGATTTTGGACAAAAGGGTTGACCTGGATATTCATGTGGTGACACTGTAGCATAGATGTAGAATTCATCTCTTAATGGGTTCATTGAAAGGTCATGATTTTTCCCATCAGGCCATGTCAACCTTGACTAAAACTCATCTTCCACACAAGTGTTGTGTCTAAGTTCTTCTGACAGAGCGCGGATAAACCCCTGTGGATGTGGAATTGCCTCCTCAATTATGATTCGTTATCTCAGATGAAGAATGAATATATGAATGTAGCTCTGAAATGAATGAATAGGGCATAATGTCACTTTATAATGTGAAGCAAATAACGGGGCTATTACCATCTCAATATTATCTTAATGACCTAGAGTGTCTCTTTGCCCTGTGATTTACCAATCTGGGCTCAGTGATGACAAGCAGTAGATAATTCTGGGATGCCGGGTCATAAAGTCACAGTCACAATATGGTCTGTGTCTGTGAGCAGGTCTGCTCCTCAGCCTCGACAAGTGGAATGAGATCACCTCTCACCGCTGAGAAAAAGGAATTGTCATGCACCAGCCGTCGCGGTTCCTGAGCTCTGTTGTGTCATCGCTTTCACATCATTAATTAAGTTGGGGATCACAGTGGAGAAGTGAATGTTAATGCTCCTCCGGGGGAGATAACAACTGTGTGACGCTGTTTGTTTCCCCTTGTCTTGCAGTGGTGTCCCTGCTGCTTCCACAGCCGTCTCTCTCCCACCTGGCACTGGGTCTGTCTGTTGGCACCTCTGCCCTCATCGCCGCCCTGCTGCTGGCCGTGTCCGGAGTCATGATTAGTAAGTAATGTCACACGTCAGTCACTTACTCTATGGAGTTAAGACATAATGTGGTTATTAGTCATGGTATGAATGATAAAAGGTTTTCTGCTGCAATTATTTTTCTGGTATGACTGAGTATTAGGGTCATATTGAAGAAAAATGAAGAAAGTCATAATATTCTGAGAATAAAATATTAATCAAATGATTAAAAAAGTCATAATATTATGAGAATGAAAAGAAAGAAACTTGTTTTAGGAAATAACCAGCAAGGAGAACCCATGCTCACCAGAGTTCCATTTCGTCTGCATCCAAAATCTTGAACCAATCTCATTTTTGTTATAATGTATCTTAAAAAAACACCGAACCCCCTTTAAACATCACGCAGATGTAACCAACAATAGCCTCGTAATCGACCGCAACAAAACATGACGTCCTCCACAAAAGAGTCTGAGTGGTTCTTTCTTTAGAACAGACAAAGTTTCTTACACAATCTTCCCTGACTTGTGGTGCTGATGAGACTGAAGATTAAGTTCTTTCATTGTGAAACCTACGCCTAATTAAGTATAAGTTAACAAGATGACCCACACTATAAACACAATAAAGAGAAGATAGTGTGTGAACCAGGGGCAGAAGTCCACGCTGTCACTGTGACAAACTATTAAATTAAAAATGTGATTACCAGAGCTGCAGTAATGTCACATTTTAATGTTTATTTTACTTTAAGGTATAAAGTAAAATCACAAAGGCACACAAACCATTAACAGTCTTTGTTGAGATTGCACTCAATAAAGTAGAACTCTATAGGGGAGCCAGTGTAGATCTACAGTACATCATGCCATTACTTATTTATATTAAATAGCTGTCAGAAGCATGTGTGCAATAACAGATAATAAATAGAAATCACTAATAAATTCATGCAGCCACGCAGTGTGAAGGAAACCATCATACTGGAGTCAGTGAGGAAGATGTGGGCATGTGGAGTGTTGATTAGTGGGTGGCAATTGAAATGCTGCAACACATTTGTGTTCCTGCTGCCTTTAGTGGAGCTGGTTTAGTTGTAGATTTTTCAGATAACTAGTTTTCCCAACATCTTTCTCACTAAAACATACTAGAACACTAATCACATCCACAAGATGAATTCCTGTTTCTCTTCACAACCATTTCATCTTCTACAACCGTTTCCAAATTCAACACGTATAAATTTCACTCTCTCCTTCCAAAACGCATATCCCATATTTCACACACACACCTACACAGGAGAGTTGTCTGGATGGGTGAGTGAGTCTGAGATGTATGCATGTGAGGGTTTTTTTCTTTTTGTGTCAAGTACAATAATTTGTGCTCAAGGGTTTATGGGATAAACCACCATGAACAGGGTGAAATTGGAAAAGTTGATCTTGCTGATCGTCAAGAGCTGGACTATGCAACTAAATGCTAAATGTTTGAGAGGTTCATATTAGATGAGTGCTTGTATTTTCCTCTTCTGTCTCTCTCTCTCACACACACACACACACACACAGTTCTTCACTATCTGACCTTGTCCCTCTCAGAGGACTCTTGGCCGGTTGTTGTCAGACTGGGGAAGTCAGCCTCGTGGCCGACACAGTTTCCCATCTGTCTGCATGCTTGTAGGCTATTAAATCCAGACATATGCACTCATTGAGCCATCATCGACTCCACACACGCCCACGCTCACTCTCACACTCGCAGCAGACAGACGCGCACATCCAGGCTTCCACCTACACTCTGTGCAAACGTATCAGTAGATGAGGCTTGAGCAGAGGAGGCGTGGGACTAACTCTGTGATGAATGAAACGTGCTTAAGACGGATGGCTACTGAGCCGGTGGCTGACAACACTCATACGTTAGACAGCACTTGGTAAATAAATAACTCCGCTGCGCAGACATAAATATACACACAAACAATTCTCCTGGTGTCTAATGTATTCACGCCCAGGTCGAGGCTTCCAGCATGATAAAGTGTGTGTGTGTGTGTGTGCGTGTGAGAGGGGAAATGAAAAATGGTTTGTTTTCACACTGTGTTATGCTACATGAATTGATTTGTTTGTAATATGAAGGAGAAAAGTAACATTTGTCCTGGTTCTGTTGTTGTTAACATGTTGGCTAATTGTACATGTGATTGTGTTTTCATCAATCACAAACACTGTTATTGTACAGGACCGATTCACATGTTAAGGGTTGAATTCTGTAACATCTTAGTAGTTTAAAAAGACAAATCTGCTATCAGATAGAGAGCAGTCATTATTTCACAGACACAAAAGACATAAAAAATGCTGTTGTGCAAGCAAAAGGTCTTTAGAGAAATAATAACTGTAAAAGCTTTCCACTTTATGTACTTTGGCTGCGAGCAATCATTCTTTCAGAAGAAGACGAGTTCAAGGTTTTGTTGTTTTGTTGTGTTTTTTAATTGTGGATATCTCAGTTGAGGAATGAAAGTGCTCTTTCATTTTCCTCTCACCAGTGTACAGGCGTAAACATACAGAGCTGCAGTCCATTCAGCTGGAGCTGCAGAGTCCAGACTGCAAGCTCAGTAAACTCCGCGCCTCCACCATCATGACCGACTACAACCCCAACTACTGCTTCGCCGGCAAAACAGCCTCCGTCAGTGACCTGAAGGAAGTGCCACGACGCAACATCTCCCTCACTAGGTCAGTGGTTAAGATGCTTAACTGTAGCAGAGGTGAGTAAAATACACTCATCTACATCTGTGATGAAATGAGTTAATGATTCACGGACACTACTACATTTCTTTAAATAGGATGGACTCATAGATGGAGTATAATGGGAGAAGTATCAGTTTGAATAAAGCCTGAAATATTAATGTACTCAGTGTAAAGTCTCAGAGTGTATGGGTGTACTGCAGTGATCAGAGCAGCTGAGAAATGATCTTTGCAGGGTTCTTTTCAATTTTTAATGCATCTTTCATGTGTTTATAGCTCACCAGTTTATCATTCTGCCTCTTCATCTTTGTGATACATTCGTTCTCTTATGGAGCCGTGAATATTTTCCAGCATCTAGAGCTGCGTTAGTCATGATTCAAATGACACAGCTGGTGTCAAAGTTTCACTGGATGCCAGACAGTGACAGTTATTTGTCTGTGTGGAGAGAAAATATGGTGAACACTGACCTGCATCTCTGCCAGACTCATTTCATCGATGACTCTAATTTCTTCAACCTGTATTTTAGCTCCATAGGTCGTAGCCTCTAATGTCCTCAGCCTAGAAATCGCAGACCCTCTGTGTGACAGTGTCAGTGGGATACCTACAACATGAATGTAATGATAAATAAATGATGTGTTTCACCAGGGGCCTGGGTCACGGTGCCTTCGGTGAAGTGTACGAGGGGCTGGTAGTGGGGATACCAGGTGAACCAAGTCCACTGCAAGTGGCGGTTAAGGTGAGTTCTAATCTGCTTTCTGAAAGAATTTTTTTTTTTTTCTATTTTTCAAAGGTCAATCCTTGATTAAATCATGTCAGAACCTGAGGGCCCTCGAAACGAATTACATACCATCTACCTTTATACTAAGAATACGCGGGAAATGAGATCAGGAACATAAGCAGTCAGTTACATTTTGAATGGCTCTTATGCAGCTAAAGGCTTAAAGGCAACACTATTGAATCACCTCTTCAATAAGAACCACATACAAAGGGAAATAACTACTGTATACACAATTTGTCTTTTTGTATGATAGACCCTCCCTGAGGTTTGCTCTGAGCAGGATGAATTGGATTTTCTCATGGAGGCTCTAATCATCAGGTAATAGCCACTCATGCAATAAACAAAAACCCCGTCTCTGTGCCCTCAAAGCTGCCTCTGACACAGTTTCTGTCTCTGCAGCAAATTCAGCCACCAGAACATTGTGCGCTGTGTAGGAGTGAGTCTGCAGGCCATGCCCAGGTTCATACTGCTGGAGCTGATGACAGGAGGAGACCTCAAGACTTTCCTGAGGGAGACCAGACCCAGACTGGTGAGACGGTGCATTTTGTCATTACCTCCTCCAAGGATGTTGCTTTTGTGTTGCTTATCTGTCCGTTAGTCAGCAGGATTACACACAAACTACTGGACACATTCCCATGAAACTGAGGTGTGGAAGAATGAGGTTTGGGTCAGAAGAGAACCAATTAAATGTTGGCGCAGATCTGAATAAATGGACAAATCCAGGAATTTAGTTTCACATTCTCTGTAGCATTTCCCACAGAATTCATTCGAGACACACAAACGTTGCAACAGATTCAAAGTGACAGGTACACAGATTAAAGAGTTAGAGACACCTTTTACTTCCAATGGACGACTGCATTGAATGCACTTGCAGGTACACAACTGCAGCTGAAACTATGATGTCTCACTATCTGAGTGGACAGTAAAAACTTTACGGACAATAGTGCAAGAGAGCGATACAATGCAGCAACAGAGACACCAACTTTGAGATCTCTTATGCTACATTATTTTATTTTTTTTTCAATATGAAACTGTGGTGGGACAAATTAGAATATGTCTAGATGATTAATGAGAGACACTGCTTTGACATGGTGAGATAGGGCATTAACCTTGGTGGAGGTACAATCTGTTCTTCTCCTTGACTTGCAGAACCGAGCAAACTATAGTTCATGTTAAATCAATCAGATTTCATATCTGTTTTTCGAAATCTTCCTCTGATATGTTTACTAAAATAGAAATCCTTACAAGCAAGTCTCGCCCCTTGGCAGCCATCTTGGCAATGTTCCCAGGCAGTTGTTTCAGGCTAATGACACCAGGCACCTGTCGAAATGAATCTGCAGGGAGCAGCGACTGAACTTTCAGTGGTCACTGGAACACAAAGCTGCATCTTTGGAATCACCAATCAAAATTAATTGCTATCTATCTAATAATAGAGGTGAAACAACGCACTAAAACGTGATGGTGTTGGTCAAACTGAACCATGGTTTGTAACATTTGCAGTATTAAAAAAAGTTTGGGAAATATTCAGACTTTTGAAACAACTGCAGGAAGTTCAGACAGCATTAAACGGCAGGAATGGTTCTGATGATATAATGTGTGAATGTCAAGGACTTCCTTCATTGCACAGTGAACCCAAAACTAACCAGATCAAACGTTTACCATGAAACAAAGACATGATCTCTCCCTAAATGCTCTTTGTTTACCATTTTGCGGGGAAGGGGTTCGACATGTGTTTTCTTTTCAGGATTATTAAAGTCAGTTCTCTGTCTCTGTCTGTCTCAGGAGCACCCGTCCAGTTTGACCATGGTGGACCTCCTCAACGTGGCCAGAGACATCGCTAAAGGCTGCTACTATCTGGAGGAGAACCAGTTTATACACAGGTATGTTGCATATTCAAAATCAACAGTGTGTTAGCAAACATAAATCCAGCACAGTTATGAAAAGATGTTATATTCTGTGGCTCTCTGGTCCTCCTACCTAAACCGATCAGAGAGACGGAGAGAAAAATAGAGAATGCGCCCACATGGCTCTGCTGACTTCTACTCAGAATTACGAGCTGACTGAATTCACCCAAGCGTAACATATGGGCTCTCCAGGCCTTTTGCCTCTCATACGATAGCAGAAAGGACAAGTGATGAGTTTAGCTTTAGAGCAGCCAGATGGGGTAGCCGGCTTGCCTTTTTACGCTCTGTATCCAAGGCACAAGTCAACAGAGTGCTGCACTCCAAATCCACATCCATGGCAGCTGGTGTGACTTAAGAAAAATGTCTTTTCCTTCCTCGTCTAGTAAAGAACTTTAACATGAACATCCATGAGGGAAGTCGTAAAATGTCATAATTGCTCCGATCAACATATCAAGGCGACAGAAGTGCATCCTGGCTCCTGCATGTTCGGCATCCAAGAAATTGCCCAATGACAAGCAAGGCCTGTTAAAGCTTATTTAGCCCCATGTGTCACAGCCCCATCAATCCAGCTAATGGCTGACCCGTCTCCAGAGGCTGGTGAGCTCCTGTCTCCTCTTTCTTCCTCTTTCTGCCTTCAACCCTGCATTTAAATTCACACTGATGCTGTCCATGAGGATAATTTAATTTTTTATGGAGGTTTGTTCACTCTGCGGTTGAGTAAAGGTCAGGTGAAGACGGTACAAGGCTATTCGGAAAATGCAGCTTTTTCAGAGGGACCAATGGTTTGGAGGATGAGCTGTAGCAGTGTTCTGCAACAGGTTACATCACAGAGTTAATGCTGTCTCAAAACTACTTCTTCTGGCTTTTGTTGTGTTTGTCTGTTTCTTTCTGTGGTGCTTATTGATCTGTGTTTTGGTCAGTGCAGCCTCAGATGTTCCTCTTTATTTACAACAGGCTTGGTGCTCACGATGGAAGTTTGAAAAGAAAGAGAGCTTGGTAGTTTAATGCAAATGCAGGTGTTAAAATAGACTATTAACACAGATAGTTCTCTAAGTGCTGCAGTGAAATGGATCTTTAAGCTGCAGTTGAAATTGACTGTAAATAAGGTTTACCGTATGAGGCCAGTTAACATGGTTTTTTAATAATATCTTGCCTGACATCACTCTGCCGCACGTACAATAGCTTACAACAATCCCTCCCCTTAATCCCTCAGATCGCAGGCCATCTCAAGGCTCGTCCTTGTCTCCGAGCAAAAAGAAAATCATCTGAATGATTTCTCCTAAGCCATTAAACAAGTAACACTTGTATTAACCTGCAACACCTCATGAGAAAAGATCTTGTGAAAGTGTTTGTGTTCGGGTGAGTGCAGCACACGCCCACATGCTGGTCGTAGTTGTGCTATGATAGAACTTGTTCCATTTTGCTGAAGTCGCTGTACTGCTCCTATGTGGATCGATTGTTTCACTGCTTCTGCTTGATAAAGAAAGTTTTCTGCAGTGGGTTTGAAAAATCAGTTCACGTACACTCATCTAACAGCATCTTTCTAAACTAGACTCAAGCTAAATCTTTTTAGATTTAGAATAAAAAACAAAGAGATGCCCTATTTACAGTGGCCAAGACGTCCCACAAGAGCATTACTGGAAAACACTAATATAAAAGCAGCACAACAAAAACATAATGACAAGGGAAGAGAGTAACAACGGGTGTTGGAAAGCAACGTTACTTACTGCAGTCAAGATTGTTTTATTTCTGCAGACAAGCAAGCCATCTTCCTTTATGACAAGCACCTGTAACACCTCAGATAGACAAGCATCTCATTTTAGCGACAGCTCACTGTATGGGTCACATACATCCGTGACTTGACCACAGGAAGTTTCTCTGCTCCCCCCCAGGAGTTTTTTTTCATGCTAAATAATTTCTTATCCAACTTCAAGTAGTACCATAATGTTATAAGTTGACTAGCTCCAAACAGCTCTGGCACATTGAAGCGGAGGCATCCATGCATAGTGTGGTTTCAGTTTGAAAAACCCTCAGTTTAAATCAGTCTAAACCACCACTTTATTCTCATTGTGTCATTTCTCATCCCAGTTCATCAGCGTGGAGTCGAGGCCAGACATCAAAACAATGTTTTGCTGCCCACTCACTCGCAAAACTTTCTGTTTGTATCGCTGCTAGTTTTTCATGTCATGATCTACTCTGAGCAGTGTCACTTGATGTTATTTAGATATTAAATCCTGGGTATTTACTGGCCTTAGCGCGCACCCGTCTCCAGTCTGACAAGGAGCAGCGAGCACACAACATCACTTCTTCACATGTTAAAGAGCGTGAGACGTCTGTGTGTGTGGGCTTTACTTCCTCTTCCCCAGACGGGAGAAGAACTTGCCGTGTGTCAACTACTGTATTTTCTCAAAGAATAACCAACCCAGTTCAGTGTAAATATGAATTTTAGGATTTTTCTCTTTCAACCCACTCTCCCTGCGTATAGTGTGGAACATTTCAATCTTTTCTCTGGATGCTCCATGTGGGCAGAGTCATGAAGGCACTGTAGAAAATGATACACTCTGCCAGCTTGCCCCAGGCCACATGGTAGTTACACACCTCAGATCCAGCAGGGGGAGTTCTGAAGGTTTTCCAACATGGAGCCTCTTATAGATGCAAATATATGTTTAACTTTGTTAAACTAGTGAATAGATGTGTGAGCAAAGCTGTGCACATGTCGGTGCTCAGTATAACAGGCTCTTATATACACTATACTACCCATATATAAAAAAATCACATAGTTCCAAGTGGCGAACCTTCATCGTTGGTTTGTGAGCTGCTGTTTTGGAGCTTTGACTTTGACATTTTCTCACTGACGTTATAAATCAATTGAGAAGTCCATATTATCATAGACTTCTACAGAAATTGATTATTTTTGCAACAAGCAGTGTCGCCCTCTGCTGGTCATTCAGTCATTCAAGAGAATACAGGTGTCAGACAATTGCACATTGGTTTTATTCTCCTAGTCTATGCATAATACTGGCTTACAGTGCTAGTGTAAAGTGACAAGCGGTACATTCATACATTGACCTGAAGTTCTGTTTTCTCCTCTTTCAGGGACATTGCAGCACGGAACTGCCTCCTGACCTGCAAAGGAAGTGGCCGCACGGCTAAGATTGGAGATTTTGGGATGGCTCGAGACATTTACAGGTACAGTCTAACGCAGATCACTGACAGGAGGCAAAACAACCAGGGGCTAAATGATTATAATAATAATAATAATAATAATACATTTTATTTCTGGGCGCCTTTCAGGAAACTCAAGGACACCTATTATTTAGTTACCCAAGTGAAATTCTAGGCAAAGATATGTTTTCAACCACAGGATGTGACAAATTACAATGCGACAACAGAAATCTCCCCAACAAACTATTTCCCTAAACAGCAGTGAATGGACACAGCCAATAGAAAACTACCAGAGACAATATTAGATTCTCTCATATATTTTGTATAAGGACGACTGACTCTATATTATCCATACCCTTCACAAACATATTCAGTATCTCATGACTTGAAAACAATTACAATCAAAGAAAACTAATCAATTAAAAGAGAAGCACCGGCTCTGAACATGAAAGTTTTTTCCTCCCATGTGATTACAGAGCCTGTGGCACTGAACACGGAGACTTTCAAACTGGTGAATGTTGAAGTGGAGCAGTTAAAGTGTTTTTATTCTCTGTCTCACTGGTGTAATGCTGCCTTCTTTTAATCTACATCAGCTCATCTGAAGCTTCAGCAGCGTCTCATTATTCTTAGCTCAAACTTTTTAATATAGCTACCACAATTTCACGTGACACCGTTTAAATGAATGCACCAATCCAGCAGGGAAATCTCCCAAGTCTTTCATCTGGCGAGAAATTAGAGTGTCACAACAGTCAGCTTTATCAACGCAGCACTTTTGAATCATCCGATGGAAAGTCACACGAGAGCAAAGTCACTCTCCGAGCATCCGGAAAAGGCTGTTGCACAATACCCCTGGGGAGCCGCATTAGGAGCGCTTGATTTAATTGCTGATGTCAGTTTTTCAGGTGCCTCGCTGTGGTTTTGTTTTTATCTCCCAGCCCGGAGCTGTGGTGCTGGAGCTGGGAATTCTTTATTTTTTATTATCATTGTTATTACAGTATGTTTAGAGGGGAGTGATTGTTTTGTGCACTATGCTGTCAGTGTGTGTTATTTCTGCTGCTTCATGATGTGGCCCTCCTGCTATGTGGCGAGGGACACAGGAGTCCTTTTGAGGGCCATCACGGGGGACGGGTGTCACAGCGAGGGACCAGGACGATGCTTAATGTCATCTTTTTATATTCTGGGAAGGCAGCCGCGGGTGCAATCGCATGTGATATTCCACGGGCTTCCTCTCTCACATGGTCTCACACTAATGCTACCGGTGATGAGGCGGTAAATAAAAAGCTGGGTAAACAATAGCTGCCAGTCAGTATGCATCCTGAGGTAAACAGCTGCCACTGTGAAGGGGAATTCACTGTGCTTTAATGAAAGATTTAGTATTTTACCTTAACTATATTCTCACAGGATGTATAAACAGTGATGTATAGCCTGGCTTTAGGTTGTTTTCAGCAATGTCAGCGAGGTGCACTCACCTGCAGAAACACAATGTAAACAAAGATGTTCAACACACAATGAACCCGCACAAGCATTCAGCTGCACATTGTGTCCTCAGGTGTATGTTCACCTCTCTCTATCTGCTCTGTGTCTTTGTCTCTCTAACACGTCTCCATCTCTCAGCTTCTCTCACTGCAGTGCTCACAAAACACATGTGTGTGAATTTGTGCCACAGATTTCCTGGGACTGTATTTAAGCCTCCATAATCTGCAGCTCAGCTTTTAGTCCGTGTTGATGCTGATACCACGAGTAATAAATAACACCACCTAAGAAAGGGATCACTCCACTGATGGGGGGGGGGGGGGGGGGGGGGGGGGGGGGGGGCTCAGTGTTATGTTCTATGTTTTACTATCGCTCCATCTTTTCAGTTTTGCGCAGAGAAAACAAACAGAGGTCAGAGAAGGCAGCCACTCTAAATATATCAAAAACAATTTAGCAGATTGTGACAGTCTGCTTTTTTAAATGTCTTTTCACAGAAATCCGATCCACTGCCAGAGCTGCTTGATCTAATTGAATCTGTAGATGTTGCCCGATCCACCTCCCGTACCATCTTCTTTACTGAGGGACAGGAAATTTAGAGGGATGCGTAGTGAGGACGGGGAGCAGCAGACACGACAGTGGCAGGGTTCAATTGTCAGATTGTAGGATGTAACTGACTCCCTCCACTGAACTGATTGTGTTACTTTTAGTGATAGATTAAGGCGGTGGGTGTGGAACTACCCTGCTGAGGTTGTTGGCTCAACTGCCAAGCAAACACACTCATCTAGTTTTTTCTGGTTCATTGATTAAGTGTAATTTTCCTCAAGACTAACTTCTTATGTCGATAGTTTTCTAAGTATATATTTCCCTGTCAGCCATTTTATCTGACAGCAGATCATATACATTCATCAGTTACCATTGATCCCCTAAAGACACAGCTCACAGTGAAACATTATGACTGCTGCCTCTTAATATCTGTGTTGAATTTAGACAGTGAGCATGTATATGTAATGTTCTCACCTGAGTTTCAAACATGCAACAGACGCACAAATGAAATAAAGATAGAAGAATATCTCCAGATAGAAAAGATGTGCACATAGAGGACACTGATGAAGATGTCAAGAGAGTTGGTGGTGATACAGAGTGATGCCTCTGCAGTGGATTCACCTGAATCCTCCAACGTGCCTGAGTGGAGAATCTCCTGATGTGTGAAAGGCAAGCTAGGTAGAAAGTCCTGACCCCAGTGTGCAGACATTAATGTCTGAAAACATGAATAGTAACTACTTGAATAACCCTGTCCCTAAAACCTTAACCTAACTTGTAAACAATGATGTGTGTTATGTGGACTTACTTGTTGTCTCCATAAGGAAGACAGTAAGTCTTGATTGTGTAGATAGATTTAAGTCCCAACAACATGAGTAATACCTGGAGCGCGCGCACACACACACACACACACACACACACACACACACATGCACAGAGACGCTGCAGAATGTGCAAATTGCTTCCTTCCTGCCACTAGTTGTATATGATTTGGACTTTTAAGACATTCCTAGCTGTAGCTTTCTGAATTTCTGACACTTCAGGCCCTGGTGAGGAACGGCACCAGCTGAAATGAGCTTGAAATCCTCCTTACACTGAGACGCAATGTGATGGGTCATGCAGTCTAAGACTGTAGGCTTTGGACCCTGTATGTGAGAAGCTCGGGCTGCCAAGATACATTTATTTCCTCCATTTTTAAAGCAACAAAGGTATGGGTTGCCATTCCCTTTTTTCCTCTTAGCTTTATTTGACATGGGGATATCCTCTGAGCACAGTGCTCTTTCCTCATGCTGCATCACAGTCCCACCTGGGAGCTGCCCACTGTAATTACAGTGCGTTCCTGTGCAGCCATGTGCAGCTCCAGCACAACAGTCGCTGCTTCATTTACTTGTAGTATTTGAAGGCAAACACAAAGACAGTGTTACTGCAGATCCTTCAATAAGAAAAGGTCCAGGGATTTAAACTGGCAATCACAATCAGGCTTTTAAAGCCCTATTTAATATAAAGCTCTTAACATGTTTACAGTCAAGTGCTAAGGGAATGATATCATGCAACAGCAAACAGCACTCAACAATGTTTACCGCCAAACACAACTGACACTGCTTAGCTGTGTCTGTTTTCTGTATTGCCGCAAAGCACCCAGTCCACGTCTGTCCTCACTGTGAGCAGGGCGAGAAGAACCAGGCAGTGACCTCTACCAGCAGCCACAACCAGATAGAGTGCACAATGGATCATTTCTTCACCGAAGCAAAAAATCTCCCTCTCTCTCTCCTCTCGGGGAGATAAGGAGTTCAGCGAGGGTCTCTCACACCAGCATGTTCGGAAGCTGAGAATGCCACTGGATCACAGCACTGATACAGACACTGACAAACACTGAATTAATTACTGGATGATCTGCTTTTGTGGGCAGTAATGTTGCCATGGTGACAGCACTGCAAAATACACTGGTCTTGGGTTAACATTTCATCACTTTTATTTTTAGCAGGCAAACAAAACCCAGTATTTGTCTATTGACTACACGGCTGATTGAAACTGATTTTCAATATTCAAAATCTGTGTGTGTGTGTGTGTGTGTGTGTGTCTGTGTTGCTTGTGGATGTCTCTGTGTGTGAATGTGTGCGTTCATGCATGTGTGTGTAGGGCAAGCTACTACAGGAAGGGTGGGCGTGCCATGCTGCCAGTGAAGTGGATGCCACCTGAAGCCTTCATGGAGGGCATCTTCACATCCAAAACCGACACGTGGTGAGAATCCCTCACTCTGGCATTGATGTGATTTCACCTCCTGTCCCCACCTATCCACTCGCTCCTTCTTTCTCTTCTCACCTTCCCCCGTCCTCCTTTGATGTCTAACCATACGTCTTGTCTCATTGTTTTTCTCCCTGTCTCGTCTCTATCTCTTGTCCTCTGCTTTCATCCTTCACTCCCTCAGCTCTCATGATGCTTATAATTTCTGACACGATTGTCCTTAATCTCCCTTTCCTCCCCTCTAACTAATCTCTCCTTTCATCGTCGGCCTCTCTCAGGTCATTCGGGGTTCTGCTGTGGGAGATCTTCTCATTGGGCTACATGCCATATCCAAGTCGCAGCAACCAGGAAGTTCTGGAGTTTGTAACCAACGGTGGAAGAATGGACCCTCCTAAAAGCTGCCCTGGGCCAGTGTAAGTGCAGACACACAATCACACACAACCTCACACACACGTGCTGAATTAATTCACGTGTTGTACATGACCACAAGGAAGATCTGATCCCATGAGATCTCATTAAGCTTCTAACACAAACAAATAGGAAGGATGCTCAGTTGTATATGATGCAGTGGTATACGCATAGAAGAAGAGCTAATGCAGAGGCAGACATGAAAGGCTCTGATGATTTGCTGATATCGACACGTAAACAAGTTGTGACCTAGAAGGCGACAGAAACATTAACAGGAGAATCGTCAACGTGGAAACAAACAGTGACTCTCTTTCATGTTTGCTTCCCCATTTGAAGAAGTCATGATAGAAGCTGATGGGATCTAAAAACACATTTTCCCCCTCTTTTTAATATACAGCCTCGAATGTGAACTATAAAAACATATGCAAACACATTTTCTATCTCACTCTCTCATATACACATTAAAGCCTTCATTTAAAGCTCCAGTGTGTAATATTTAGGCGAAGTGATCTATTGGCAGAAATTTAATATAGAATAATCCTAGTGATGTTTTCACTAGTGTGTTTCATCTGAATTGTACGAATTGTTGTTTTCTTTACCCTAGAATGGCCCTTTATATTTAAATACATTATATTTATATCTGGAGCGGGTCCTCTCTGCCGAGGCCGCCATGTTTTTTTTCACAGTCACCCAAACTGAACAAACTAAACACCTTCAGAGTTTTTATGACAACTGAAGCCTTCCACAGTTTCTCTTTCATGTTGGGAAGGGGAGGGTGAGGTGAGGTGAGGGGTATTCAGCTGCAACATTCAACTTGACCACTAGATGTCACTAAATTCTACACACTGAACCTTTTACCTTCACGCTCGTTCTCATGACATTTTGCCGCTTGTTCTGCATAATCCTGCAAATGTGTATTTGTTCTATAGAAATAGTCGCACTAAATGTTTACATCATGTGTTTTGTGTTTGTGTGTTTCTACACATACCTGTGCATGTTTAGGTATCGTATAATGACACAGAGTTGGCAGCACCAGCCTGAAGACAGGCCCAACTTCTCTACTATCCTGGAGAGAATCGACTACTGCTTACAGGTAACAGTGTGGGACACTGACGCCATGCAAAACATTTACATCACAGACCTTTTGAGCCACAAGGCTCTTCCTCAGACCTTTGATAGAGAAACAGAGCCGTCAGCTTAATGACCCACATAAATCATTGTAGATGTCATAATAAATATATGCAAATAACATAATATAAACTCCTACATAGAATTAATATGTTACATTAATTGTTTCATAACAGGTTCAGGTTTAACAGTCGTCATAACTACAGTGATACTATTAGAGGTATCTCTGTCTAGTTGCAGTATATGATAAAATAGAGAGAGCAACACCATAGACCAACATTCAGGCAGATGTATAGAGAAATATCTAGAGACAAATATAGAGAGGACATATAGGACTCATGATGGAGGAAGTAAAATCCCAAGAACGGTCTTATATCAAAGTCTTCATTTCAACCTTTGAGGCTAGAGTGAACATTGTGTCAATCCAAAACAGTTCACCTTAAAAGAGCAGAGTTAATCGCTCACATGAATATCAACATTAACATTGAAAAATACAGCTCTGACCAGCACACAAACAATAAAAAGTGAGTATAATGTAGAACTGTCTGAGAAAGACACTAGGTCTCATTCTGAGCATTAACACAGGCCAAGAGAGCAGCCCATTACAAACAGGCAGGTTCAGAACGGACACTACACTAGTATCAATTCAATATAATGAACATGACTCACCATTTGGGGTAAATTGGATGGTTTACCCTCTTTCAGGACCCTGATGTGGTGACCATGCCGCTGCCTATAGAGTATGGACCCATCCCCGAGGAGGAGGAGAGAGTACCCATGCGCCCTGATGAACCATCAGCTCCAACTGTGCTTGTAAATGCCCAGGTGCCTGATGGGGAGGCTCTACAGCCACCACCATCTTATCCTACAGAGGAGAACCGCAGAGGTGGGGAACACGCTGTTGCGACAAGCGCAGCACCGGAGGCCAAAGCACAGACGTCAGCGCAGCCCCAGCCGTACCTCCACCAGCACCAGCAGCCTCACACACAGGCCTGCATGACCATGACGACCACTAACACCATCACTTCCACAGCCGCCGCTACACTCACAGCTAAAGGACCTCATGTCACTACCCAGCCAAGCCCAGCCGAGGGGGGCCACATCAATCTGGCGTTCACCCAAGGCCACCCGGCAGAGAAGGACGGCCACAACGGGAAGAGCACCAGTCTGTGGAACCCCACGTATGGGTCGTGGTTCCTGCAGCAGCAGCAGAGAAAGCAGCAGCAGCAGCAGCAGCAGCAGCAGCAGCAGCAGCAGAGGCTGGGTGGGGTGGGCGGAGCAGGAGGCAACGGTGGCAGGGTGCCTGGCGAGGGACAGGAGCACATGGGCCGGACGGTGGCTGAGGTGGCAGGGGCACTGGGTCTCCAGCACCAGCACAAGCAGTTCCAGCACCAGCTCCAGCAGCAGCACCAGCTCCAGCTACTGCACCATCAGCAGCAGCAGCAGCAGCAGGGTCTCTGTAGACCCTTGTTACCCCCACCACCACCTCCTGCTGCACAGTCACCTCTGCTGTTAGATTCCGCCGCTCTGCCCCCGGTCCCCCTCTACAGACTGAGACGATTCCCATGCGGCAACATCGGCTACGGTTACCAGGAGCAAGGCCTGCCGCTGGAGGCCGCCCACGGCAACCCCAACCCTCCACCACCTCCCTCCCAGCAGGGCATCTCCATGTCGTCCTCTGCAGCTCACCAGAGGGGAGCCTCTGTTCCCACTTCAATGGCGTTGGGTCGGCCAGGTATGTCAGAGGACAGCCGCCCACTGCTCGTCACCATGGGGACGGTGCAGGACCCCAGGCTGCCCAGGATGGAGGGCCACAACGCCACCGTGCTTTAGCCCAAATGCCTGAACTGCTGGTCTTTTATCAGACGGAGACAAACAAACACTGTGTCAGGACAGATTTCGTTTTACAACACCCCTTCAATCCCGCCGTTTTGGTTTCTTCCTCCAGTTCAGAAAGAACCCGTCCAGCTGAGACACAGCTGGATGAGTCCACCAGGCTTTTCCTGTGAGAACCCTGGAGGTGTGTTCAAATCCCCAATGGATGCTAAAGCACATCAGACAACTCAAAACCTTTGAGAGGCAAAATTTAGAGCAAAGACTAGTTTTAAGAGTTTAAAAAAATGTATTTTTTCATCGCTGGAAGGATCACGACTGAGTGAGAATCTAGTGAGGAGTTTACAGCACAGGACGACGAGGGGACGGCTTGAGGACGTGGCGTGTTGATTGACAGCTGAGGATGTCTCTTGTGTGTGAGAATGGACCATGGATTGAAATCTCTATATTTTGCCAGACTTCAGTGTTTGGTGACTGGCTGCGTCTGCAGCCGTCAGCCACATGTGTCAGTTCTACCGCTCCTGCTCCACATCCTTTTGGAAAACAACCATGTGGTGAATAACCAGACTATTTTTAAAGAATATCACTGAACAGGACACTGGATTACCAGACACATTTATACGGAAAAAAAAAAAGAAATCTGGTAAAAATGTGTTTGTTGATGTTTGCTTGCCTGCTTGTTTATTTATTCATTTGTTTATTTATTATTTGGAAGTGGCTCTATAACTTATTAACATGCTTCTTCAAACCCAGATTCATCTCTCGTCAAATGGTTTCCAATCAAGTTTTTTTTTTTTTTATAAAGCTGCAGGAATTAAGTTTTGAACGATCCTTGAAAAGAAAATCAGGTGGAAGTCGTGCAGGAAATCCGTGCAGTGGGTGGATGAACAGAGCACAGACACAGGTATGAAATATAATTTGAGAGAAGAATAAGATGTTTTAAAGTCTTGGCTCCATCAGCTATCTGTAAGAGTTCAGCTTTTGGTTGATGCAGAATATTTTTGTGAGCGCGTTGTTCCTGGTTCTATTGAAAGCTCTGCTCCTTTTTTTTTTTTTTTCACTATATTCTGCTGAGTGCTCAGAGACAGTAAAGTTAAGCCTTTTCTTTACTTATGGCTTTTTCAGTAACCTTTTATTGATTCATTCCTGTTTGTCTGGATGTAGAAACACAATGGATATTGCTGAATCAATCTTAACCTTCAAGTTTCTATCTGGAAGCCCGAGAGAGTGAGAGTGTGTGTGTGTGTGTTGGGGAATACAAATGAGTGTGAGTGCTCCACATAAGAATGAAACCTGGGACCATCCCACTGCTCATTTTCACACACGGGGTTTAAAGTCTGCTTCTTCCAGTTTAATGACACTAAATCTATCAGATGATGCCGTGAGTGCGGCGGTGTTGATATTTAGGTGAATGACGACAACGTGCGTCACTTTTTCGATGCTTTTGCTCGACTGTACTGATCCTGTGTGTCTGCTGAGGCCATGATGAGCTGTCATGTCCGGGCGAACAGGGACCGATCGTAAGTGAGCAGGGGAAACGTTGGCGAATTGAAAAGTCTTTTTGCTTTTGTCCCCAGTACCTGTGTTAAGTGCATTAACTCTGTGTTCCCTTCACAGCTCATCTCCAACATTTGATGTAAAAAGAGAAAATGAACTGCACCTGTAAATGTTGTAATTATAAAGTATTGTACTATGGCTCTGGTAAATGCTGTAAATTGCCCTTCAGAAGACATTCGCCAAAATTAATAAATTACTATATAATAATTGGTGTTGCTCCTTGCCTGTTGTTCTCTTTGCTGTTGAGGGAATTAGATTAACATTGACATTATAATTTGCTGATTAAAATCACTAACCACAGACACAAAGTAGCTTATTTAGAATAACATCCATTAACTGTCATTATTACGATTCTTTGTCTTCGAACCTAATGTAGTAATGTGTACTGAAACAATTGTGGTGTTAGTAAAAAAATAGTGGCGACAGAGCAAATTAATAACTAGAATCACTCAGTAGAGCCCGGACACAACAGTCCCCCCATGAAAACACATTTAAATTCACTAGGTCTGGATTTTGTTTGAATTACACACATTCAAATATTTGCCTGATATTTGCCTGATTTGTTTTCATCAAGATCCATGATTTCTTTTTTTGTGTTGAAAACATCTTATCTCCCATATCAAAGTAAGTGAAAGAATAATCCTGGAACCACATTTTATTTAGTTTCCTGTTAATCCCTCCTGTAGTTTTTGGAGTAATTTTATTTTTTAGAGACAAACAGATGAAAACATAACCTCCGGCTATTTAAACTACAAAACTACAACCCACTGAAACTGAGCAGGACTGTATTTTATCTTCTGGCTGGGTCACTCAGCCTTGATGTGTTAAAGAAAGAAAACATATGTTGAATCCTCTGATGAATAAATTGATTCAGTGGACTGGAAATCCTGCAACATGCTGTTAACATGTTCTGTTACATGAGCCATTTTTCTCACAGGCCTGTCAAACACAGTTCAGTGATCTCACAGGAACATAGAGTGTAATTATAACATTGTGTCCTTTATTATTTTATGGACGTAACTCCATGTTTTTATCTGGGAACTAAACCTTGGGACTTCATCTCACATTACTGTTTATCTTCTGCATCAGCTACAGCCGTGAAGTTGCTGTCTCCATGCTGAATCGTGCGTCCTCTGAGCTTCTATCACAACTCATCTAGAGGTTTTCAAACTGAAGTCATTTTTATCCTCAGCAGAATGTTCATAACTCATTAGAAAAGCAACACCTGACATTAAAGTGCCGTTATAACATGCATCCTACATCCATACTTCTGTTTACTGCATCAATGAGAACATGCTGCTGATAACTGATGTCAGACTCAGGGTGTAGATGTTTGTTCTCTGACTGCACAGACTTGTGCACAGATAGATTAAAACGTTTCTCAGCTTCTCTGCAACGTTCCACTGAAGGTTTGGTTTTCAAGGAACCATAGATGTCTTTATAACGAGATGATTTACTGCATTTAACTTGTTTTGAATCCCAGAGACATTCAACTAAAACGTTCCTGAAAGCCAGGATAGATAAACAGGATAAAAGAAAACAGATTCGCACTGTGTAGTGATCTTTTCACTTTATAGATACAATCTGTACCATGGCTTCATGAGAACGCTGCCTTCTTTATAAGAGTACAGAAGAATTGAAATAGAGGAGCAAAGGACAAAGCTCTATAGATATTCATGAGAAAATCAAAGGGGGCTTAGAAGGAGACCAGTCTGCTTTCCATTGGCATTCAGTCTGACCTCAGCTCCGAGACAGGTTGATATCACACTCTGTGTGTTTTCACTAAAAGCTTTTACAGGAGGCGTAGCTCCGACACCTGGATGACATCTGTGACAAATGTCCCTCTGGTCTGTGAACTGTGGACATTCTCTTGGTTTTATGTCAACAGCAAAGCCACTGTTCTTTTTCTCAGCTCTCGATGTTTGTTCAAGAAATAATGCAGCAGAGAGAAAATACATATTTACAACCTTGTTCTTCCGTCTTCTGACACTCACTGGAATAATGTTTTTTCTAGACCTGACCCTGATCCTTAAAGCAAGTCTTAACTCTCCAACAGCAAAGTGAAAGTGGGTCAGAAAGTGAGGACCAGCCAAACTGTTCTCACTCCAGGCGTTCTAGGCTCAAAATGATCCTCACATAGATCTTTGTACAAGTCCAGCATGTCCTGCATGGACTCCACGTTTCTGTTCACATCCTCATGCATCCTCACTCACGACACCTACATTTTAAAGCATCAGATTTTAAAAATATGAGGAATATACTAGTTAGTATATGAGAACAGGGGTTTCAAACTAGCAGCCTTGATTCAGCCTATAAGACAATTACACAACCTAGTCAGCGTGTGTTATAGAGATGTGAAAGATCTGACACCAAAATGCCCATTTACAGGTTCTGTCCTGAAGGACACAGTCGATCTGTCTGCAGAGGAGAAGCTGCTGTTGTCTGCACCACTCGAATGGAGTACATTTTTCTCCCCGGCCCAAATAACAGCTTTCATTTTCATGCAACACAAAGTTATAATGGGATGAATGACATGTCTGTCATTGCCACAGCGCCCCCTGGAGGCCCATTAGTGCACTATGTAACTGGTGTACCGTGCTGGAACATTAAAATCTGCTTTAGTTCATAGGCACACACAAAGAGCCAGAGTGAACAGCTGTAAGAAATAACTTACTCACTATTGTCAGTGTGGACATCATGACAGAGACACAGGAGAAACCAAAGAGGACATTGTCGGAGGAAACAAAGAAGAGGAAAAGAGAACGTGATGATTAAGAAACTGAACAAGAGTGAATATTGAGCACATTTCACTCGCTGAGAGCTAAAGGAAGCCAAATATGCAGGACAGATGCAAACATGGTGTAAAGTCGCAGCTTTGGCTTGTTTGCTTTGTGTGAGTGAAGTTGCCGGCTCACTAGAAGCCATCAGAAGCCAGACAAACACGTCTACTTTAGCAGGAAATTTATGTCAGTCGACATGTTTCTTCTCCGTCAACAAATCTACGTGTATGCAGACATCGCATTTATAACAGTGAATTATGCAGCCCCACCTGTAGGGGGAGTTGGAGTATAGTGAGCGATATGGTGTCACTTTAACCTGAGGAGACTGCAACAAACAGTGTTTAGGATTTGACTAGGTTAGTGTCTGGACTCTTCCTGAGAAGAAAATGTATTAGGAAGCTTGCTTTAAAAAAAACGATTATTTTAAATCAACAACAGCTCACTTTGGTAACGTAGTAGAGCAATAAGCAGGATTATGTACAGTGAGCTGGTCATTATTGCACATAAGCCCTGGCTGGGTGAATGCAGACCCCAGCAGGATTATCCCTTTATTATTAACATGTGTACAAATGTAGGGGCCTGTACAGCTGCCAGCACGAATCTGCTAGCGATAGCAAAGTGTCCTCCTTTGGTGCCGGCTGTGCCAGCGCTGCTCTCCATCATGTTAAAGCAGACTGGAGTCTTACTTCATGGTCTTACAAAGATCATTTGTCTCCCATCAGGGATCCGCTCTGCAAAGTGCTGATGATGCAACTGAGCACACACCACACTGTGATCCAGTGTGTGTGTGAGCGCTGTTTCAGGTTCTACACTGCACATAACAAACCATTTAAATACAACACGCAGGGCCGTGGGAGTCACAACGATGAGTCACACAGATCTCTGGCCATTATTACCAAAACTAAATCAAAGTTTGTTTTTTTTACAAGAAAATATTTGTCCTGCCGTGATTTTCTGACAATAAGGTTGCTGAATTCAACTGTTTGAGATGAAGCTGCTCTCAGTGTCTCTCTCTACTTAAAACATGAGGACCACCTCCTCTCGCCTCCACTCAGGACGAAGCACCTGTCCTGGGGTGACTTCTCCATCCCTCCCTCCAGATCAGAGACTGCACTGAACTGTCCACCTTTAAACCACTACTGAAAACCCACCTTTCAAAAACTGCTTTTAACGTTAGATAATGATGTGTGTGTTATATTATGTGCAATTATAATTCACTTTTACCTGCTTTCTGTTCTTGTTCAACCTGTAGGGTTTACAGTGTCATTGTTAGAAACGTTATAGAAATGAAGAAAATGTATTATCATAAAAATAAGACATATTTCTATATATAATCAAGTAGAACACCACCTTAAAATGTGATCACGGCATTTAACTGAAACTGAACATAATAACCTTTGTTAAGGTGGAATTTATGAGAGCTGAATTTCCAGGCCGTTTCAATAACTAGAAAAGTACTCTCTCTGTTTCCAGATTTTCCAGGATGAATGGCAACCCTGAGGTTTTTTAAGTATTTAGTTCTCAGATTTTACAAACATGCCTCTTTTTACTGCACGTTTGAGTATGTGCTTACAATAATTCATCTGGTTACCTGGACTGTAGCCTGCAGAAGATCTGGTTCTCTCTCCCTGCCTCCTCCGGCTGGTTGCTTGGTTGAGATGAGCTCAGCAGTTCTCGGATCAAACCTGCGCTGCAGTCATGTCATATATGGGCGACTAAAACGGTAAAATGGAAAAGGCTTTTTGGTTTGGCACAGTTAGAGATGTGAGTGAATCCAAACAGAAGTTATTTGTATCTAGATGTAAAACAGCTTAGGAGAAAGAGGCGCTGATCAGTTTAACAGAGTGATGATCAGCATCATGATGCTGCTACGACTTGATGTTTTTTATGTCAGATATTACAGCTGGAGCTGTTTGTTTGTGTACGTTACACACACTGAGTCCTTGACGCCTGCTCTGGTGGAGCACCACTGTGTTACATTTCCACTCCAGCAGCAGCAGCAGGCGCTCTCAGCTTGGACTGAGATGAGCCCCACTGGAATCTGATGGTGTGAACAGACGTGTAACCATTTCAAAGTACTTGCTACTTCATTTTCAGCTCCTGAAAACAACACTGCACTTCATGGACAGTCCGGGAAATTAAAGCAAACCTCCTTTTCACTAGAACAGCCACACTTAACAAGGCACGGAGCTAAAGGAGAAATACAGTCCGATCAAATTAGAATAGAATCTTTATTTCAATTCTTTACAAATACTCTTATTTTCCACAACATATAAATGCATCAGACCAAATTCCCCTCTCACATTTCAAATGTACAGAAATTTCATGAAAACAAAACATCTATTACCCACACGAACAGAGTGCAGAGACACTTTCATACCCATCAGTGGAATTTGCAATCAGAGGGATTTGTAATACAGTGGGGGTTGCAGATGCAAAGAACGCAAGTCTATCTATAGATGAGATTTTAAAAGTGGAACGCTGACAAATGCAACAGGAATTATCACAGAAATGCCCTTAATGGAATTAAGATTTAACAGGAATCTGAAAACACTGCGTTTTTAAAAGCCCACCAGTTTCAAGCGTTATCTCTGTGGCAGATGTTTTAGACAAGCACAGGTTCTGACCACCACTGTTTTAAATCACAGGGGGCCTGACCAGACGGATCAATGAGACTCTTCAGCGACTGGATTGGCCTGCACGCCCTAATTGGATAGTACATGAATGTTTTACTGAACAGTGGGCCTGTTTTCCACATGCACAATCGATGCCTTGTTCTCTGCTGAGTTGCCCAGATGCCTCTAATCAAATAGAAAAGTCTGTCCTTGAAACTTCTGGATGATTGCACATTTCCTGTGTAGAGCCGCTCCTGTTTGTCGAGTACAGAGACACACTAGAGGACATTTGAATTGAACAATGTTTGTGGATTACATTAAGAAGAGAATCACTTCTAGATTCAGGTTGTAAAATGATTCAATAGCGAGGTTTAAGCAAATCAGGTTTATAATCCGACTGTGTTCCCGACTCTGGTCAAAATATTTATAAAACCTGTGTGCTGTTCAACAGACTCTCACTGGATGACATCACCGCAGCAGCATCATTCTGATTAAGAATCCCAGCCAAAGGGATTTTTGCAGCCCACAGCACAATATACCATCATGCATCTGTGTAAGTTAATGGACAGTCTGTGTATGTAGGAGGCAATAACTCCAGCTGATGCGGTTGTATTGTGATGGAGGTGGATGGAGGTCCAGGGTTAATTAAATCCTGTTTTTAATTCACATTGATATATACTGAAAATCCACTTTTGACTCAACTCCCATCAATTATATGCAAGTTATATGATGACCTGGGAAAAAAAAAATCAATCTCTCTCGTGTCAAAGCGCTTCTCAATTAATACACACATGCACACGCAATCACAAAGACTTGGACACTTTTGGTTAGAGTAACATTACAAACTAAATTATGTGATAAAAATCTCTACTCGATGCAATCATTAATCTTTAGAAATAGTTTTCCATGTGTACACATCCATTCCATTTCTTTTATCATATTCAGATCAATCATGTCGACGTCGTCAGTGCAATCAGATTAAAAATAGTGCAGCGGTTTTTGCCTTATTAAGACTTTCCCTCCAACATCCTGCTGAGATAAATTCTAAGAGGATTTGAAAGTTAATTTTCTAAAGTGCTTTTTTTTTTTGCTTCATACAATTTGCCAAAAACTAATCTAGTAGTTTAAATTTGAAAATATTAATAACTGGTTTTGTAACTAATTCACACCAGCTCTGACTGTACAGAGGAAAATCAATGATGGTTGATTCAACGAAAAAAATCTTGCAGCGGAACATGAACAGAAAATGTTCTCCAAACCCACTCACTCCATTTACTACAGTCTGCTGTTTTCATTCACCAAGCGCGATCCGTTGATGCCACGGTATGTGACGCGGCTGGGACGGACCAGCACACCGTGGCCAGCTCGACAGGTGAAGTAGCGGCGGCCCCCCACAGAGCCGTCATTCTTGCCCTTGGGGCTTCGGAGCTCCAGACCCAGCCAAAGGCCCGGGGCAAAGTCTGCCGTTCCCAGGTAACGGATGAACGCCATCTCATTGGCGCTGTTCAGCAGGACCTGCATGCCCACGTGCAGGCGGATCTGTCCATCAGGGCTGGCTGAGGGACTGGACCCTGCACGTCCAGGGACACCACCACTACTTCCACTGAGAGTGCTCCAGCGCCGTCGGTGAGGGTTGGAACGACTCCTTTTTTTGGTTTGTTTGTTTTTGTTTAGACGAATTGTTGAAGCACAGGGAAAATACAGACAGAACGATTTATAAGAGAGGGTTTGAAGTGTGAAATGACATAAGTAGGGGATTCATGGGAGCTCAGGGTTTGAGGGATTGATCTTCAATTCCATGTTCTCTTTCATTATAACCACAATCATGTACTGGCTAATTAAAAATAGGAACCTTTTGCTGAATAATTCCACTACCTCTTATCATTATTGATTCTGCCACTGCTGCAGGGGCTTAGGAAGCTGAAAGGCTTTGGGAAGGAGACATGTGAGGGATGTGCAGAAAAGAGACAAACCTGCTAACAGGACTTCTTCTGCTCGTCTCCTTTGGGGTGGCTATGGACAATGATGTGCTCAAACTGCGACGGATTGTCCCTGCACAGCAATTACAAGAGTCAAGCACTCCCATACAGATTCATGCATAAGCACTCACAGAATAATAAATGCAAACACACTAGAGATGAAGGCAGAACCCTCACCGCTGAATGGATGACTGAGGCGTGAGGACGAGAGCTCCGAGAGGCAATCGACGGATCCATGGATCCTGTGAGAAAAACATTGAAGGCTCTTCATTCTCACGATATTAACATTCACTCAGTTTTCACCAAACCATTGTGCCAAACCCACTGTGTGTGTCTGTGTTCACTGCTGACAGGTGGAGTAGTTTGAAGGTGAATCAAGAATCTGTGCTGTAGGGAAAGAATGTCAGATTCTCCCTGACACAGGAAATGTGCTCACTTGAGCCAGAGGCTCAATCGTGAAACAAAAAAAAAGGACATAAATAATGGATGAAAAGGAAAGACATGTTCAAAAAGCAGCTTTTATATCATGAAAGACCTCACCAGTGGTTTAATAGATGCAACAAATGGTGGAAAATGGCGAGAGCAAGGTAGAGATGGTTTAGGTTTTACTGAGATGAAGCACATGTGGTAAAGGGAGGTGAGGAGAATGATGACATTGTATAAAAGGACCTGGAGAATCTCACTTTAACTGATCTTCCTTATGAGAGGTTTGGAAAAACTGTACAGACAGCTGAATTTAAAGACAAAGCTAAAATACAGGAGAAAACAAGGGTCACTGAGTTGTTTCATGAGTCAAACACTGGGGTCCAGGACAGCACTCTCCCTCTTCCTCCCACACAAACACACTGTCAGTCACACTGACCATCAGCAGCATCAGCAGCATCAGCAGCAGGGCACCCATATAGATTGTACTGTCTCCAGCAGGCAGGCTGGATTCAACATTAACGTGTTAGATTCCACTTTCGCTGTGCTTTAAAGTACCTGTCAACTGCAGATACCGTCCCTAATAATTAAAAATAATCTAAATTTGGTTGATTTTTTTTCTTGGAACTGGCACCTGTCATCTGTATTTGACAACCAGTCCATCTAATGATGGGCCACATCTCTGCCTGTGTGGTTAATAGGAGGGAAGCATTAAAAGGACCATATATAGATTTATTTAACTGGCTGTTTTACATTTCCATAATAATCCTCTAATATTTCTGTGGCAGTAGACCATGCCACAGGGCTCTCATCACAGCAGCCAGAGACAAACCATAAAGGTTTGAGCATCTTTATAAATACAAACTAAAGTCACACAACACTTAACTTAAAGGCTCGGGCTCAGTCTCTGTCCGTCTCAGTCCTTGTGTGTCTCTGAGTGATTCTGCCTTGAGGCAGCTCACTGCTGCCTTTTAAACCCGAGGTTTAAACAGCTAACATCTCTCACCTGCGCTGATGAATCCTCTGATACAGGTCAAAGTGCTCTCCCAGCCCCCTCACCTCCACAATGTGCAGTTCTTTTTCTGCTTTCTGACTCTGCATACTGCAATTATACGTCTAGTTAGGAAGCAGGAGTCTGAATACATGACCCCAGCAGATTACACACATCAGAGAGCTTTCTGAGAGGCTGATTACATGTCTCAAGACACACGAGTACTTTGGTTGAGAGCATCTCGTGAATGAAGCACTCACCAGTCTAATTTAGACCCGTCTCCATCTTAACTATTCAGGATTTTGCAAACACAAAACACTGCTCTATTATCACTTTATCATAGGGAAGGTCATTCATCAATAGTTCAGAGGCTTGAACTTGAAGGTACTTTTGTGATATCTAGTGTTGAAATTGCATGTTGCAGCTGAACACCCCTCACCTCACCCTCCTCTTCCAAACATGAAAGAGAACCAGTGGTAGCTTCAGTTGTCATAAAAACTCAAAAGGTTTAGTTTGTCCAGTCTGGAATAATGTAAAAAACATGGTGGCCTCCGTAGAGAGGGTCCCCTCGAAGTACATATAAAGTATTTAAATATAAAGGACCTTTTCTTGGGTAAAGAAAACTGCAATTCATACAATTTAGATAAAACGAACAAACAGTCTGCCATTAGTTTCCTTTCACCTAAATCTTACGCACTGGACCTTTAAGTTCACCTAAGAAAATATTCAATGGCACTAGTACTTGAGTCTAGAATAGATTTCCACAAAACATGGTGAAGGATGCTGTAAGGGTCAGGGAAGAAGCTATATTGATGTGGATCTGCACCAATCATTTTTTTAACTTTCTCTAAAGTTTTGAGATTTTTACATTTACATTATTTCCTTATTCCCAGGGAATCATTCCTAGATCTTGATGAAAAGGAAATGAAAATCAGTCAAATTGAGATACTTTGGAGATCCTGATAAACTATTCATTGCAAGTATACAAGGTCAATTTTTTACTTTATTCCAGACTCAATAACCTGATATATGGAAAAGCAAATCTCAAGAAGCTTTGAACATAAAATATAACAAATCGCCACAAAACGCATTGACTTTTAAGTCGATGGGTTAAGTGATTGTAATATTTTATGTTCTTGAGATGTCTACATGGCTCAACCCCAGGTGTACATCAACAAATCTTTGTGTGTTGGGTTCTGAGCACCAGCAATCTTGCGCACAAAAACATCTGAATCAGTTCATGTGTACTTGTCCTGGGTACTTGTGTACTTGAGTGAAGTAGCTAATTATCTTATCACAGTATTTGTTGCAAACATGGGGCAACAGGCAAACAACCTCATCATTTGCACACTATATATATATATATATATAGATCTTATACGCTCATTATGCATAAACCATATAGCACAAATGAAGGTGACCAGATCGTTACGAGGTGCCACATTAAGTTGAGAGGTTACGGTGGACCACGTCCCCAGGCCTCACGTTTGACATGTCTGACTCTTGTTAATCACCAGTACAGAGGATGGCTGTTTGTTGCACAGTAGGCAAAATCAAATACGTCAACGCTTGCACAAATGATGCTGTCAAAGGAGCTCATTAGTGCCATCAGATGTATTAATGAGGGCAATGAAATACAACCTCTGGGTTTTAAGGGCGTATGTCGAGTTCTTCAAAAATCTGCTCTGAAATTTAATAGAATTTCTTACACATACTTATTTGACTCATTTGTTTTTGCTTCTGAGGTTAACCTCTGGTAAAAATCAAAAGGCGCCATTAATAATTTGTGGAAAATATAAGCTATTTTGAAAAGGGCCTGCACTCACCTTTGAACACGAGATGGAGGAGCAAAGACGCCATGTTTTGGTGGGCAGCTGAAGTACCTCACTCCTCCCACTGATCCATCATTCTTACCACTTGGCTTGTCCAGTTCAATGCCCAACCAGAGGCCTGTGCAGACAAAGAGACACAGTCCGACTCAGGGTCAAGGGAAAACTGTGCCAAAATCACATGTCAAATAACATAAGATAAACTTAAACTAAATAATTCCACGCTGGATTCACCTCATTACAGCAGCAGATAGTCAGAATGAAGTATACAAGAGAGCATGTTCAAGTATAAAAATGCAATATATGTAATGTATACTATATACAATATGTGATATATATGCAGATATAGACAGTTTTAAGTATATAGGCATGATTTAAGATTCGCTTAAAATGAGAGGTGCACCTAAAAAAGAGAGATGTCAGTCATGAGTAAAGAAAGTTGTGTATTAGTCATTCAGCAACGATATATCAGATGTTGGACAATTATATCTGCTGGATAGATGAGACAAACTGGACAGAGAAACAATTAGAAGCTATTGACTAAACAAATGGCTGGTTATGTTTCCAGCAACCTCTCTACATGGAAAGTTATTAGTCTTGTAAATGGTGGAATTAGACTTAAAGTTCTGATTTCATTATATCAGATAAACTAACCCTACACTAAGTGTACGTGTCTTGAGTCTATAATATATCTGTATAACACGTCCTATTAGGTGGATACTATTAAAACAATTGTGTAGCTCTTTAACTTCCCGTCTCTGCCCCGTTAAATGATGTGACTCTTCTATATGAGGCAGAACATGAGTTCACGGAGTCCTTCTCTCTGCTGGCATGGCTCAAACTAAATGTTATAAAGAAGTAATTAACTGTACAGCGCTCAGCGAGAAGAGTTTTTTTTCGGCTGCAGAGACACAGTCCTCAATGCACTGAGGCTGAGATAGCACTGATTAAAGAGTATCAAAGGAACTTAAAACTGAAATCCCACGTAGTCAGTGGTGGGTTATACATTAATACTTACCTATACATGACTGATGCCTGAGCAGAAGTACTTGCTGATTAATACTGTGAACTGTTTATTCTGTTTGGATTCTGCTCAGCAAGAGTTTCTCATATTTTTGAAAATAAATGTTTTTCCATCAGTATCTTCTGTCCAACAAGAAGAACCGAGATGAATTTTTTTGAAAGTTAGGTTTATCGAGAACAAACACGTTTTTTACATTTAGAGCTTAAACTGCCTTCATTCATCCATGTCACTTCTTATGATTAATGTTTCCACAAAAGTCTATTAGTGTTGATGGTCAAGATCTGTTAATATTCTTTTCTTTGTTATTAGACTCTGACTGTGAGTTGTTTTATTTTCATGTATTAAAAGCTGTGTAATCATCAATCCTCCATTTATTTGTCCAGAAAGCTCCAGATCAACAGTTTGCTGCCCAATAAAAATACCAGGATACATTTAGGGACACATTTGAGAAAACTGCAGTAGTTATAATTCTTTGTGTGGGAAACAGCTAAGTTAGGACAAATGTGATTAATTTAGAGGATAATTAATGTTTTAAGACTTTTTTTTCTTAAGTTTATTTCTAATCTCAAGCTGTTATACACACATGGCTGAATCTTTTTTCCAGAGAGAACAGTTTGTTCAACTCACATAAAAAAAAATGCAGTAAGTATGAAGGTCATATTACTCATATAATTAAATCAAATGTTAAAAACTGTGAACCAGTGTGTGGGATCTGCGTCGGTGCTTGTTATTAAATTTAAAATAATAATTCTAATGAGTATTTCACTTCTAAATAATAGCTACGATGAAACAATGGCAGACATTTTGTCTTGATTAAATCACTGTAGTTACTGACCTGGAGCAAAGCTGGTCTTTCCATAAAACTGGACCACACCAGTTCTCTGACCCACCACCAGCACCCTCTCCCCCAGACGCACCTCAGGGCCCTCATACACAGAGCTACTCGCTGAGGGGGTTCTGCTTCGGACACCTGGGGGAGATGAACAAAGTCTTCTTTACTGCTGTGATAATTATTTCCCTCAGATCTGTATAATAATGTAAAAATCCTGACTCATATAATACAAGACACAATTAGGATTTAAAATACACAGGACCACCTCTTTGGAACAATACACCAACATCACTACTATCAACATCTGCATTGAATAGTTCAGTCAGACAACTCACGTTCAACCGTTTATATTGCAGCAGTAGTACATAGTTTGTGTTTGGCGTCCAGGCTCCGACTTAGTCACTCCCCTGATATGATTACACAGATATGATGGGAGTGACGAGTAAATACTTGTAATCCCCGTCGGAGCCTGCAGGTGGATGCAGGGGTGGTGGAGGGGAATACTGCAATAATGCAGCAGCAGTGCGAGCAGAGGGGGTGATGGGAAATTTCTCTCTGCTTAAATAGGTCGCCTAATAAGGTGGGTGTGTATAATGGGTGATTGTGGAGAATGAGGTATGTCACATGATGTGTGTCACATGCTTGGAGCAGCGCAGCTCGAGTTGGCTGCCTGAACTAGCTCGCAGGGGTCGCTCCATAAACTAAATGATAGCAATCTTCATTAAATCATGGTAAAGATAATACAGACCTGCAGCAGTCAGCACAGTGGTGCCAGAATATGAATGCAGCGCTAGTGAGGGCGAGGTCCTGGGACTAACACGCTCCCTTCTCTGCCTGGCAGGACGGTGTTGCCTTGGCAGTGGACGAGGTCGGGCACCTGGCCCATGCCGAGAGTCCAGTGAAGAGGATGAAGAGGAAAGAGAGCGGGAGAGAACACCTGTGGGGAAAATGACAGAGAATGAAGAGATGGAAAACACAAGGAAGCGGTTAAGAAACAACCTCTCAAAACAACTGAAGTGATGAACAAGACAACATATGAAAAAGTTTATAACCCATGAAATCTAGTAATGTGAAGCCGCCCACAACAGCTATATCATTCAGTAAGGTGAAATAACTGATGCATCTAGGCTTCATATTGGTTGTGAAGGTTAGCTAATGTCACAAACTGTGTCCCTCAACGCTTAATACTGAGAAAACCATGCATCCATTCCATTATAATCAGGAACTTTCAATTGAAATAACGGACATCAGCCTATTTTTCCATTTTCTCCTCCGGAATGTGACAGTGCCAACAACACTTAGATCCAAACAATTACCACGGTACTTTTTCAGAAGTCCAAGCTGCTGTGGCACATTATTCTGAGGCATCACTAATGAAGAGAGCTCGATCTGGCCGAGGTCCAAAATCAGGTCAACACGCTGATCTCCACCCAACATGAGGGATGAGTTGAGTAGGGGTATGCCCAATTTCACTCTTTAAAAACCATTTAGATGCAGGACCTCATTATGCTTTTAACTTTCACAGACCTTCACAGGCCATAAGTTCATTAAGTGCCCAACTCTTAGAGGCTAATTGATTAAATCTGTTCCAAAGCGCTTTAAGAAGAAGAGAAGATTCAGCAACAAACTAATTAGGACCCAGGCAGTGATGGACAGAAAACTTATCAACCTTTGCCAAAAGTTGTCTTCAAATGTTAGTATTAGCTAATGGACCTCTAAGAGTGGACAGCAATGCACAGATATAATAGATGGAGCTCCTGATTCTGTCATTTCCGCCTAAGCTATTCAATTCCTTGTTGCCCTGATTGATTACTGGAGTGGTGTGGTTTTGGCCTCATGCACAATGAATATAAATTCCAAACATGGAGTATTTTCAGTTTGAGGACAAGATCTGGAATTCTGATTATGCTCAATATTCACTTGTTGCTGAAACATATTATCTATCTAAATGCAAATGGAGATGGAAATTCTAATTTATCATCTGAATTATCCTTTAATTACAGATGCATTTCTGCAGGGTACAGAATGGTATATAAAAGTATGATATAAAAGTACTTTATAATTCAAAAAAGGGCTTTGATGTTTCTGTTGAGCTACACACAGATGGATTATGATGCTGGATTCAACCATTAAAGTGTGTAATCATCACAGACAGATGGTGATTAGAGGTGTGTGGAACTAGGATCTGAACAATTTCCAAAGGTTTTAACCGAGGAGAGATTCTATTAAATATTGCAAAGCCACTTCCGCACAAATGTTCTTCATTATGTTCACACACAAATCAATATTCATCCAAGCCAGATTAGATGGTTGCATAAATAAAGCATCATCACAGCTCTGTAATGTTTGAAGTAAGAAAGTCAAAGGTCTGCTTGAGCACTTACACTTGATAATCCAAGTGGAAATATTGTGACCATAGGTGGACACTAGTGGCATTTTAAGAAGCCATCCAACACTTATCTAGTATGAGTTGAAATAAAGTTTAGAGAAAAATAAAGACAATTACAAAAGAGGGAACTAAGGAGAAGTAGAAGTGAGTCCCAAGAGTAGCAGATTTAACAACAGAGACAAAAAAAGCTACACTGAAAAGATAACACACAAAAGCAGGAGAGTGTAGAATAGCAAATAAAAGACAGCATGGTATTGTTGAGTAGCCATGAAACAAGAGGTTCTGAGAGGCATTCTCTCCCGATTGTACCAAGACCGTCTTCCTTTGCTCTAACACACAATGAGAGACAAATATGCAGAGACAAGCAGTTACACCGACACAAAGGCCCCAATGACAGGAAATTCAAACAGAAAAAATAAATCTTTAAAAATAAATCTTGGTGCCGGCTCAAATGAAAAATAACACAAAATAACTTGCAGAAGTGAACATACCTGTAAGTTTACATCAAAAAACAAGTGTTCATTGTGTTGTTTCCAGATCTGAATCAAATCTACAACTAACACACAAAAGCCTTTTAGTTAATAAAAATTAAGATCCATGTATCAGAGCAATCCAAAAAAAAATATTATTTCAAAAAAGGATTGCCACATAAACTGTTTCCTATCAGGCTCAACTCTTTATTACATCACCTTAGTTCACACTTTATATTGTGCTTTGAAAAGACGTTTGGAAATTCTCATAAAAGCTTAGTATTTATTGATTGCCATTTCAGTTTTCATTTCGAGGCAGCTGGGCGACATTCCCCTCAGAGGCAAAGTGGTGGCTTTCCTTTCAACTCCAATGAGGAGACTCCATTCCGACTCAGAATACCAAACATTCTTGTCACCTGACCTTTAGCTTGCAGGGACTTCCTGACTCTATCAATCCCTCCCACATAGCGGCGTTCCCATCAAGTGACGGACTGCAGCACAGACTGAGGCTTTCTGAATCGAGCAGTGGTCATTTGTGAGCGTTGTCTTTGTTCCTGCCACCCTCTGAAGCCTGAGCTGCAGTTGACACTCTCTAATAGCGCATTCTGTTGTGTCTATCCTTCCAGGTTAGCAAGAAGAGACAGTCCCACAATGACCCATCAGATCTATAGATTCACTCTGCTGATCTGAATGGATGGTGCAACACAGGTGGTTTGGAGAGTTTAAGCTGTAAATGGTTCGACAAAGACCCTAAAAAGTGTTTAGTCATAAATTAGTTTGGTACCTGGATTGTATGGCTGTGCCAACACACACACCAGCACATGTAATGCGTGCCACACACTTGCACTGACACACACACTTAGTGATGAATGGCTGCCAGGTTATTCAGCCGTCTATGCCCTAGTTATTAAACCCTGCTTAATTGGACTATCAATCACTGAATTCCATAGGCCACGATGAGGTCTGCTATTCCACTCACGTCCGGAACAATTGGCCTCCAAAACCTTTGAATACTGCATCACCACAACACAGCTATAAACCCCTAGAGGGCGCAGGAACCAGGAAAAGCTACCAAGGCAAGGTTGCTACAATGTTCAAAAGGTGACCGGACTATATGATGAGACAACATTAGTCGAGAGTTCAGGGCGTGGGCATCCAAGGACTGTCAGAGCAAGGTCCTGTCAGCAAGCTAATTTATGCTTTGTCCTTTGGCATCAGTTCAGAACCCAGCCTTCAAAGCATTCCAAGAAGATTAATACGAAAGCCTGGATGCAATAAGTCCTGGCATGCAGTGTCATGGCTCACACAGACGAGGAAGGATGAGACAGTCTATTTTTGGTACAAAATGGGACGTCAGTAGGAGTCATGACTTCACTGATGAACTCACCTATGGATTGACTCAGTCCCTCCATAGTGTCCTAAAAGCTCATTCTGTCAACACGTGTGTCTGTTAAGTCTAGAATCTAGAAGGAGTGTGTTCTCATATCATCATATCAATTCTGTTAATGCAGCATTTTTTTTTAGAAAACACCAATTCATTCAAATAAATGTCAACAGATCCAACAGATATACCACTCCCTAAGTTTATTCTTTTCGAAAACTAATGAGCAGATGCAGATGATAAACATACTGCTGATGCTTTCCTGCATATTATAGATCATTACTGTTATCACTGCATTTTCCTTTATCTATGTCAACAATGACATCTCTCTCAACTGTCTTTCAAAAAAAGTCCTCCTTTTAGGTAGTTTTCACAAATACACAGTAGAGTACAATTCAAATAGGAAACATTTAGAGATTTGGATTGGGATTTTTGTCTCTCCCACAATTGTTTTCCTTTTTCCTTTTAGTCTCTATCTCAAAATAAGTTCAAGTTATATTTTAGTTCAAATGCATACAGTGCATGTGGATACATCCTTTTGCGATTAATATATTTCCTTCGAGCTTATGTTTTCATCAGCGTTTGTTTACCATTTAGCAGGATTACGCATAAACAAGAAATTGTTTTAGCATTGAAAGACAAAGTGTTTTCCAACATTTTCAGTGAATTTAAATTTGGTTCTATAAGGGGACTGTTGGGCCTTGGCAGAGGTATTCATTCACCTAATTTCTATTCTAATTTGATGTATAAGATGACTTTCACTTTATAGAAGAGGGACAGGGGGAAGAGTGATCACCAGACTATCTCCCAGGATGTGGACACTTTTGTAATCAAGTTGGCGGAGAGGGCTATTTCAAACAACTTCTCTCATTTTCAACACATCATCCCTAGAGTGAAAAAAAAAAACTATTCACTGTTTCTATTGATGTTTGAACCCCCAAACCTCACAAGGTAATATAAGGAAGCCATCTATGGGAATAATATTGTTGTTCAACAATATCTGGTTTATCAGTCACAGTTCCTTTGTTTCTTATACAATGTGTGGTCTCCAATAATATAAGTTGGTTCTCCTTCCAGGGGCTGTGCTTGTGACATGAGGAAACTTACCAGTGTGACATCTTTTCACCACTTCAAAAGTTCAAACACTTCTTTGGCCACAGCGACCCACAGACTATTCTGTCTCACTGCCTTTGTAGTTTGAGTTATGCCTAGAAGACTTGAAGTCATTTTTTATTTTAAGAAATTTGTGCCAGTGCTTGCAGGCAAAACCATTCTTTAGCCCCATGCTGATGTGCAATGTTCAGTGAACCTGATACAACCAGAATCATGTTAACAGAGCCAGGTGGAGAAGTGGTCAATCAGCAACCGCCCTGTCTCAACAACAGTTGTGTTGTACCTTTTTACAGCTTGACACGATACCAAACAAGTCAAAAGCAGATACTGAGAGATCCGTTTGCCATTGTTCTCCACCTGTGTTTATCTTTGAGGTGATGCGGGACAGGTCAATGCGACGATGGGGCCGTATGGGTGTAGACGTCCTTGTGGTGCTGGTTTTATGTCTTTCCAAAGGTTTGCTTATCTTGGAAAGGGGAGCAAAAATTCCTGTCAAAAAAAGCATTAAAAAACAATTTAAAGGAAGGAAAATAAGTCAGCAGGTAACGTGTGACCTAACAACTGCTTTATAGAGTTGTAGAAATAACAACAAAAAACATCATTGTGCCAATCAGAATACAGTAACAAAAAAAAAAAAGGCAAAGGGCAAAATCTGATTTCATGGAGTTAGATGAAATGCCACTGAAAATCTGACTGGACCAATTAAGTCTCATTAAGTCAATAATTGTATAAGACATTAATAGAGCTTGTGGGGGAATCAATGTGTTTGTTCATTAGGTGCTTCTGGGTTGTGGTATGACCTACCATGTTTGATTAAACAGGTGAAATACTGAACCCCTGCTACCGAGCCGTCATTCTTCCCCTCTGGTTTGTCGAGCTCCACTCCAGCCCAGAGGCCTCCTGAGAACTCAGTGCTGCCACAGAATCGCAGAGTTCCGACCTGTTTAAACACAAATAAATGCAAATATCAACAAAGGAATCAACACATGCAGCAAAAGAACTGCAGTGCACTGAGCAGTGTGTAAAATGAAATCTTTAGATGAGAAGTTAGGCATCAGGTCAAGAGCAGAACCACCAACTCGACGACTTGTTAATGTGTCTATGTTCACTTAAGCAGCAGAAGAGAATCGATTAAAGGAAAACACAGTTCAAACCATTCAACTGTGCCAGAAAGTGCAGAGAAGATAATAAAGTTTTGATTAGCCAATCTCTACAACGGCACACAGCAATTCTGTTCTCAAAGTAACACAACAATCTATTTATGGCTCATTCTTTCACAGTAAATGTCTGACTCTGGTAGAATTAAAATTGTCTCATCATCTGCATGTCTCTGCATCTATTGGATGTGTGAATGTGTGAGCATCTGGGTAGGCAATAGAGAAGGCACACCACAGACTACAGCCGCATGAAACAAACTACTACCAGGGTAGGTAGGTCCATGACTACATGCCAAGAAGAGAAACTGCTGATGGTTTTCAGTTGAACAACTGGCATTACGTTGTAATCTATGTAATCCATGACGCATTTCTTTCAAGATGTGTGCAGTTGAATGCTATGCAAGCTTTAGCAATGTGGCTAATGCAAAACTGACAAGTAACAAGCACCCACTACCACTTTGCTCTGACACCAGTAGTGTCATTTATGTATCAACAGTTCTCTCTCTAATTGGCTACCACTGATTTGTCAACAAATCAAAAGCTACACACACACACATGTCCTTACACTGTAAATTTAAAAGCTTTAAAGCCAGTGTTTACAGACGATTGGAGCTGATTCACACAAGCATCATGATTAGTTTCCAGGTTCTTTAAATACTTCCTTAAAATCGTAATGAATAAAACCGCTTTACTATGTGAGATCTTATGACATTAAATTCAATTAAGTTGTACATCGTTGGGGCGCCATTCAAAGTTAATAAACTCCTCAACCCCAAGAGTTTGAAAAGCCACTTCCTGATCTAATAAGAGTCATTAGTCAGGGTCTCTGTCATAAAAACTGTGTCCAGTTCATCCCAAACAAGTTCCACTGACTGTGCTGCTCTTCCATCATTTCCATCATTTTCCAGATGATGTGGATCCCCCAAAGGCAAATGATGTATTCTAAAACTTTTTTCACCAGACATTTAAGAAGATCACAATTGGAGTTACATGAACTTGAACATATTCTGATAAATGCTGATGATATGCCAGCATGAACTGTTAGAAATAACCCTGAATGACAGAAGGTTGCCAAAACATTGTTGCCTAGCAACTGGTAACTTTTCTTTCTTAGTTGAGGGCTGAAATAATTGTAGAGGGTTCAAAATGAGTTTTAAAAAGCTTCTTTATTGTTTAGGATAACCCAGTACACAGCTGAAAAGCACTCATGATGTTGATACAGGCATGAGCCTCAAAGTGTAACACTCTTGTGCTGTGGTAAAATATAGTATATTGATTTAATTAATGATCCTAAATAGTAATTGTATTCTCTTATTTGAAAAAAGCAGGATTGCAAGAATCAGCATCAATAAAAACAGAGAACTAAACATTTAAAGCACCTGTAAGCAAATAAAAAGCTGTTCAAATGCCAAGTTACTATTTTTATGCTGTTTACACCTGTAAGTGAGTGTGACCGCCTCCTTTTAATGTCTTTGTAGGGATCACCAGAGGAAGTGTGAACATTTGGATGTTTGGCTCCAGTCCCCACCTAACATGCTTCCTGCTCGTCCAGGTGCTCCATCAAATACATCTGACAGTGTTTGAACAATGGAAAACTGCTGAGGGATCATGTCCTTTGTTACTGAACTACGGAATCCTACTGGGTAATCTGGCTCCTGTACAGAGTTGTCGACTGGAAAACCATAGAAATCCCCACACAACCTCCTTTCATTCAAATTTCAGGTGGTAATCAAACAAACAAACAACAAAAGAAAGAAAGCAACAACATGGGAGATTCCGTCTGAGTGGGTCAGATCTGGAACTTTCTACGTGATTTTCAATGGTAACATATGTTCACTGGAGGTGTGATTAACAGGGAACCATTCCAAACAGAAAATATCAATAATTAAAAGAAAGAGATACTCCGGGGAGGAGAGCACTGAAAACTGGATACGTCTGTTCTTGTTTATCAGATATGTTTTCCAGGGTTCCTGCCGAACACACTTGACTATTACAATACCCAGTTTTCAAGTGAGTTGCGTCATTATTCCAACTATACTTAAAATATATTATTATTATATTTTTTATATATATATAATTTTTGTCAACCTATCATAAAAGGGCACAATTTGATTTAAAAATGTAAAAATGTATGGCAATGTTGTTCATTAATGAAAAATACATCTTAATCTTTTTGCCCTTTATTCACTGACAGATCGCTATTAGATGGCCAGATTTCATTGGATGTGGTCTCATTTATAGTCTGACCCATTTGAGTAGGAATGAGTATTTATACAATTCTCAATGACTCTTGAATTCATTCTAAATGCATATTTTTTGTATTTTCTTGTGTTGTGTTTCAAATTTGTCAGGATGTACTTTATAACTTATGTCGAGCACTTTAAATTGCCTTGCTGCTGAAATTTGCTGTGCGTATACATTTTCCTTTTCTACTTTACATTATGCAGCCAGATGCTGTTGACTACAGCTCAAGTTAAAAGCAGTATTATTCACTGAGTTTCTCCATCTAAATGGAGAAACGTTCACTCATTTGAATTCAACTAATAATTAGGTCATAATTATAGTGCTGAGAAATGTCCCTCTATTGTATCACTATGAGATACAGCTGAGGAGAAGAGGGGGTATTTTCAGGAAAATCTTCAAGTAAGTCTGAAAATACTGTAAATGAAGGAATAATGAAGATACGTAAATGCTCGTGCCCTTTGACAGTGAACTATCACACACCTTCTGTCCAGCTATCACCACACGGTCTCCGAGACGGATTCCCATGGTGGAGAGCTGTATCCTGGCTTTATCGGAGAGGGCAGGAGGGGTCTGGGTGTGCAGAGTGAGTGGCAGCGGAGAGCTGGGTCTTGGTAAAGCCTTGCTCAGCAAAGATCGGAGCTCTTTGGCCACAGCGGCTGCATCTGCCATCTCCACAGGCATGTCAAGAGGGTCAGGCACCACATCTGCAGGGCACTGTCCTTTTTCATTCTGTGGGAGGAAACGAAGAAAAAACACAAAAAACTATTACAAACTGTTGAAACAAAGTGAATGTGGTTGTGTATTCACTAGTATACCAAATAAATGTCAAATATATGTAAAATAAAATGAACTTTTGTCATTTCTGAACCAAGGATGTTTGCCCTAACAGAATCTTAATTTTATCAGAGGCACACAACATGGGCGTTTGTTCAAGCAGCATTCAAGTGAGAGTTAAGATGATCTGCAAAGGGAGGAGGAGATAGCTGCAGGAGTCTGACAGACAAGGGAGCTAATTTGGCACTATTGTGCTGGAGTAATTGGGGCACACTCTTTTTCCCATCCCCTCCAGCAATGATATGAGTGGTCCTTGAAAAAACATAAAAAAGGAGCTACCTTTCATTGCCGAGACGTGTTGTTCGCATGTTGTATCTTAAATGTGTCAGCCAACAGTGGCCTGAAAGAATCGTATTTGATCTGATGAGCAGTCTTCTGAGACTGTGGAGGCTGTTTTCATGGAAGTACAGGTTCATGGTGCTGGGAATAGACATCTCCGAACCTCTCGACTGCCACTGTTTCTAATCAACAAGAGCAATGTAAATAGAAAATTCCACAATTAAGACAGGAAGGTCTGTAAATTGTTTATCAGTCTGCGTTTATCTGTAGATGAGCCTTAGTGATTGTACCTGTAGTCCACAGTTCACTTCATTAAATCCCTGCAACCTTATGAAGGCAGCAGGACGTTAAAAATCTGCAGCCTAAAGGGTGGAGCGTAGTGTCATTGTGCGAGGTAATCACCTTTACCTTTATTAAATCACACACAAATGACACAAGGCCACTAGGAAGAAGAACAACAATACTACAGGCGTCAGACCGGCCCATTACGACTCTGTATTGTTTTGTTTAAGTGGGAGATGCCAGGTTACAGCAGCTCATCAATCCTGTATGTTACAACCTCTATTCCAATTTTCTTTTAAGCAAAGGTAGCATGTCAGGTTTTATTACTGAAATGCATTGCAGTGTGAATGCTGGTGTCACATTTTACTGTATCATATAAGAATTTATGACATGACATAGAGTTGGAATAAAATTGAAACAGGAACAGATTTATGTAGTCATAAATGGCCTTATCAACATTTCTTATTATTTATTTTTATCATCACTGCTAAAGTAAAAACCAACACCTCCTGCCTGTGGCTGCAGATTTTAGGTGTGGTGTCTTCAGGTCATGCTGCTCTGCGCCTTCCAGACAACAATATGATTTCCTGAAACAGTCTTTTCATTTGCTGAGCAGCTAACATGCATCACTGCGAGTGGCTCCCCTGTTTAAGAGCAATGACAGCAGTGATGTGACTGGGTAAGAGTAGATTCATTTATCACCACACTCAGATTTATATTCCACCTCAGCAGCTGCCATTTCGTGGTTAAAATAAAAGCCAGTGTTAAACACAATTCAATTCAACAGCGCTTCAAACTGCAGGCTCAAAAACACCTCTCAAACAGTTTCAATGCAGACTGAACATCATGAAGGCAGAATTCACTGCAGGGCCGCTGTATTAGACTGCATTCCTTATAGCTTAGGTGTTCCTAATAAACCGCCACCTTAGTGCATAACCACCAGTCAAATGTCCAGGGGACGTTTTCACTTTCCTGCACATCTGAAACTGGAACAATCAAGTCAGCAATCCACCACAGCAACCTGCTACTGTTGGAAGTATGATGTTTTCACAGCTATTAATCAGTAAGATATGTGTTCAGGGAGGCATGAAAGGTCACTTTTATTTTTCCATCCTCATAACACTTTTCACTGTTCATATCCAAGGTTTGCTGTGATGTTAAAATGAATTCGATGACTCTGGTATCATGCTGTATATTTCACTGTTGGCCACCAACGCATTTCTTTCAAGCAAATGACACAGTTGAGCACATTGCAACTCATTAATGTACACAGGTGTGCGTGTATATACTTTTAACAAAGGTCGCCAACAGTGATGCAATATGTGTTGTTTTTCACTTCAAGGTAAATCACTCTTTAGAAACACGTTCCAGTATACAAACTAAGTTCTGTGCTTTTTGAAGTGAACTGCCCTGAAGTAAACTCTATGTCATGTGCTTCGAACACTTTGTACACTCCATCTAAAAGAGGATTACTGAGAGGAAAAAATGACAGCAACAGCAGAACACATAGCATCTCTGGAACTAGTTGACATTAGCATAGACTTGATCAACCTTAAATAATAAAGCAGACGGAAAATAATCTCAGCTCAAAGGTAGAATATTTTTTGATTGGCAAACTAAGGAATAACCATCATCTCTAACCCAGAAGTTATTTAAATATAGCGTTGAGAATTCAAGCTTCTTCATATCAGCAGAATGATTTCACGCTCTCCAAGCTCTGCATTCGGTTACTGAAATATAAAGTGCCACTGTACTTAACTGTGAGAGAGGGTGTTATTAGATTATGCTGCGCAGTGCTTTGGTGACCTCCAGTGGAAGAAACATTTCTGTTCACAGCATTAATGAATCTAAAAAAACCATGCTAAATGCAATAAACAATACATTGTGGTACAGTGAGAAATTGGCCATCTAGTACAGAAGGTGTGGACATAACAGGTCAGTGCTTTTCAGCGAACCTCCCAAAAAATGCATTAAACTGAGAGACTGAGGATTGAGAAATACTCAAATGGTTGATATAGTATATTCAAAACTCATCTGTATTCAACCAACTATCCTGTTATTTACCAGCAGAGTCAGAAAACGCCAAATGCCAGGATATGTGCCAGCCTAAATCACTGCATATCTGAAATAAAATAAATATGATGCCTGAGAGAGCAATCAAAAGATTGCAGTGTTATGTTCTTATCCCAGCATTAGGACTCCGCCGTATTTCTGTAAAGAAATAATGGATGTAGGAAAGGGTGGGAAAATTGTGGGAGTGAATTTTCTATTTTCAATGAATTCAGACTGATGACCTCTATGAGAAAACCCAGGGGGCGGACGTAGTATCAACAACTCCTACGATCGAATGAAATCCAAAACAACAGCTGTGAAACAAACAACTTGAGAGGTGAGGTTTAGAATGTTTCGTTTAGAAAGAGGCATATTCAATAACATGATTGTTTATGTTTTGACTGCAGTTTGTGGCCGTGTTGTATTTGACTGCATTATAAAAATGCAAGTTAGTGATTTAACAAAACCACTGTTTGCAGTCTACTGTGGATTTGCTGCTATTTGAAATTTCTATCATTAACATTTCTTTGGTAATATCAAGTAATTTAATGATGACAACTTGTGCTGGGGAAAAATTGTTTTTCTAACTAAAAAATGCATTTAATAACTGAATGAGAATAAAATAGCAGCAGCACTTGTTATATTCTATAGATTTAAGTAAGGGACAGAAAAATAAGGTATATATGACAGTAGAAGGAGTGATAAATGAAACTGCATATATTTTACTGGACTGAAATGATGGTGCAGCTCAAGAAAAATATATCATTTTAAGATTTGAGAGAGGTCGTCAGGCGTGATGGTGTGTCATGATGTTCTCTCAGATTTTATACTATCTGTAGCAAATACAAAAGAACCTTTCAACCAAGTGAAATGAACCAGCAGCACTGCAGGCGAGCAATGTGAGGAAATCTCAGTAGTAAGGTTCTCAGCTCATGAAGCTTCAGAAGAGATTGTTGTGACGATGGGAAAAAATATTTAGGTCTGTATGTATATCTGTCGAATGCACCAACTAACTCACCAACTGTCGTCTTCAAATATGTGAAAGCATGCAATTAAACTTTTTGTGGCTTTTTTAATGAAAGAAAGAGATTTGATAACATTGCATGGCATTACTTTGCGACTGTGTGTAGGAGAACAATGCCACTTACTCTGAAAGCTGGGTTGGCTCCGAGCTCCAGGAGACATTTGACAGCTGATGTGCACAGGTTGGATGCAGCAATGTGAAGGGCGGTGCCAAAATCAAAGTCACTGCAGGTGGCATCTACCTCTACAAAAAAGTGAGGAGAGACTTGCATCATACACTTGAGGTGTTGTCTTCTATAATTTTTTTTTACAAATACCTCATGACACTGAGGCCCTGATCAGACCGGGTATTAACATCCTCCTCGACAGATCCGATCACAGAGAAGCACAAGCACAAGTTTGCCTTATCTGGCATTAGAATGCCTCCACACATATTTCTTATGATTGGAACTCACTTCCCTGCTCTATATGCAAATAAACGTGTGTCAGTTATGTTTGCAAAGAGCCCATTATGTTGTTTTTAGCCAGTCTGACTGTACAGATGAGTCACTTGTCATTTTATTCAGGTGACAGGGAGAGAGAGAGTGAAGCCAGGTGGGGCTAAGACAATCAGTGCGCTGTGGCAGCTCTACAATTAAGTAAGTTAAAGCAATTTGAATAAAAAAGTCATTATTATGTGGTGGTCAAAGTTAATCCTGTTATAGTGACCCCAAATAAATCAATTGGGTTGACACTTCCTAAACATTGTGGCAACATGTGTCCCAGACAAGCTCTGAATGTGTTCCGAGTGATCTGATCTCAGATGCGTCCTCAAAGTGTCCTATAGGTGCGTTCACACCTGTACAGAGAGCTGTCCACTTGTGATAGGATCACCTGAGACGCATGTTAATACAAAGTCTGAACAGGGCTTAACCATTACAGACCATTACTTATGCTCTGTCGCCAGAAAAGTGGGATTGCTGCTCCTGCAGAGAACTGACCTGACTCTGTATTGCTACATTACCAGGCGCATGCATCACTGCCTCCACTACACCATGTGTTTGAACAGATTGCTGGGAACACACTTGATCATAGCTGCTTGGAGGTTTAAGCACCACCAGAATTATTGGGCATATCAAAGAGCAAAATCTCAAAAGGTGCATAATGAACAAACCAGAATCTGAGAGACTTTGCTAAATTAACAGGAAAGAAGTTGAGACGATAAAACAGGCTCATTCAAGAGCCGGTTCTATGTAGTTTTCAGTTATCTCAAATTTCCTGAGTAAATCCTGGGCCCTCCCTTCAAACTGGAACATGGAATGATTTAATCTGATTTTTTGTCAACACAACAGCATCACAAGTGTGTAAGATACAGACACAAAAACATGAGATCAACATGAAGGCCAAACTCAAATATGGGCACGGTCTGACCTATGATTACTCATGTTACACTTCAGTAATGGGTAGTATTTACTAATGAGCATCTAGAGACAGGCCCCAGGTCCATTGATGAGTCACTGCCCCAGCAACAGGCAGATGTTATCAAGGTGGTCCACAATGTAAGTTTACAATATTCATTCTCAACTTAATTATATCCTGAATTTATAGCACAGGCGATTCCAAAAGTCTGACATTATATGTTTTTGACTTGTATCCTAAGAGATGTGATTCTTCTTAGACTGATGAGGGCAGAATAATAAGAAAAAGAATTCTAGTCTGTTGCCAAATTGATAAGAAGAAGAAGGCAGCTTATTAAGTGCAGCAACAGGTCCAGTTATAAAGAAATATATATTCTTGCATTTGACGAAGATCATCAGGGACACCTTAGACAACCCAAAACACATGCAAACAGGGCCACAGAGTTCTTCACATAATAGGAGGAAGCACGTCAAGCTTAACTAAGCACCTCAGGGAACGCATCAAGATCCCGAAACAGAATTAATGGTGAATGAGTTTAAGCTTATTTTTATAAAGGTAGTGTAACAGAGCATGGTGAGTATTCCTTGTATGTTTGAGGGTCTTCACTAATTTGATGTTAAGTTACCAACCACAAGCAGATATCAGGGATCACCAGCAGATGTTAGCGACCACCACTGGATGTTAGGGACATATGATCAGTTGTGTGCATTAGCATCATCAGGTGTTTCAACCTTTTTATATCACAAGATACCCTCTGATAAGACAAGCTCACCACAGGCTGATCTGACCTGAGTGTGTGTCCCTAACATTCTGGGGCCCAGCTGGGGTGTGTCCTCCTGATCCAGAGCGAATGTAACACAGAACACACTGAACCCAAGGACTTTGACCATCCAACACAAAATTAGAACATTGTAACTGAGAGAGAGAAAACTAGAACTGTTGCATGAACTTGTTTGAGGTATGAAAAGGCTGACACGGACCAAAGACCTGCACTGTGTAGATCACGTTGCAGATTAGCCCCCAACAACAAAATGCCACTTTTACTAATGCAAGAATAAGGTCAAACAGGACCAAAAGAGTTGACCGATGAGATATAAAATCACAGTTGACTCCATAAGAGACACACCATAAAGCATTAGAGGAATGACAAAGGTGGATGAGATAAAGGCTGCCATTGCAACATCTGCAAATGTACATAGTAGAATTGACATTAGGTTTATGGAAAATGTGCTGCTAGATGGTGATATGTATCATTGAATACATATGAATGAATCTGTTCTTTACCAACAAGAGCTGAGCTGGTGAACTGAACACCCTCTGGGATGAGCGATGAAACATTTCACTTGATGTAGCCTCTATAATGAGCTTTATTTTGACACACACTGTCTGCACTGAGGCCGCACTGTGGTGGAAACGTGGGCAATTAATAGTCAAAAAAACACATGGACCTATTATCATGTGCATTTGGTATTTTGGTGACAGGATGCGTCTGGTGCATCTGGAAACAGGAACAGATTGGGATGTGTTAGCGATGGGAATTGACATGGTTTTATACCTCCCTTAGCCTTCCCTTTAAGGAGAGAGAGCACAGTGTAGTGTCATTTCGGTGAAAGAGAGAGAGGAGGGGGGCTGTCACAGGGTAAATCTATAAAGTATCTATCTCCCAATACAAAACAAATGATTGGGAAGGGTAAGCTGCTAACACACCCAGTACATCTCAATCTCTTCCCGTTTTTAGATGAGCCAGGTGTATCCTGTCACTGTCGTAACAAATGTGCACAGACACCTCCCTGCGTACTGGACATTAGATTGCAGTTTGCACGGGGTGCTTTGGTCCAAAAAAAGGGCCCGTTGTTTTCATTGACTAGTAATTGCAAACCACACAAAAAGTTAGACTCTGTCTGGATTCAATGATGCGCCCAGCTGAGCTGAATGAGTGCTCCTCGCAGGAATGCACAAGATTCTATATATTTGTCTTTAAAATTTAAGAGAATGTAATTTATATTTTACACATTAAGGACCTATTTCACCACGAACCCATCCACTAATCCACATACACTTATCTGTGCAATATGTATTCACTGAGGCAAGTTTTCAGTCAGACACACATAGTATGAAGTGTACAGTGCTTTTCCCTTTATTCTTATTCATCTTAGCTCAAGCACCATCCACAAGGCTTAATCTGCTGTTGAGTGATTTTTATAAACTGGACTCAATACAGGTGTGAAATGAGAGACTAATGAAAGATTTATTATAAATCTGCAGAAAGCATCGGCTCAAGTTCAAAAACATTTGAGCAGCTTATGGTGTTAATTCAGCGTTTGTAGTAACTGCTATTCAACAATGTTTGTGAACATGAGAAATTCAGTTTGTGTAGAAACGATTTGTAAAAAGACTGAGTAAATTCACTACTCATGAAAAAGTGTGTTTTTTTGTATAAATTGTACAAACGTGTTTTTGTGCACATGTGTGAAAAATCAAAAAGAAGAAGATGCTCCATCTGCCCACACAGTGTGTGAATCTGAAGTCACAAACAAATCTCCTTCACATCTATCCTTGACCTTGTGACGTTTTTCTTCGGGTGAAGGAATAATTATTAGGAAAGGAGATTCTTTTTACATTCTGAACAGAGAACAGGTCATAAGAGGTGTAACAGATTTTCAAGACATTGGTGTAGGTACGTTTGAACACATATCAAGTGGCACCCGGACACACACCTCCAGCCCTCTGACTGGACTCTGCTTTGTGATTGGATCCTCAGTATATTACAGGTTTACAAAGGCTGCTTTACTATTACAAACTTTAGAATTATATGTGAACATTACAAGCTCAAAATCTTTTTGACTCCAATTTGAGGCCATAAGTTAACTACACTTCACACTGCAGAATAAGAACCCAGAGGCCTCCACCATGTTAAAAAAACATGGAAAGGACAGTTGAGGAAAAAAACACATAATGCAAACTCATCACAAATACAGCCACCTCTCTGACTAATATTTAACAAGAACTGAATATGATAAGCAACATAAAGCCAGGCTGCACTGAAGGGGTTAAATGTGGTTGCTGTGAGTGCAACCAATAAACTTAATAAGTTCACTAAAGTTAAAAGATAAATTCCTACGTTCTTAATCCTTAAAGCAGTTGGTTTTGAAAACAAAAACGTCTGCACTGACTGATGGGGCGAACTTTGCCCGTCTCTCACCTCCAAGCTGGGAGGCCTGCAACACGACCCGGATAAGCTGGGGAACATCGAAGTACGCAGCGTAGTGCAGGGCCCTCATGTTAGTCCAGCGTGAACGGAGGTTAGGATCAGCACCCAGGATGAGGAGCTGGCGGGCAAAGCTGGCTGCTGTGTCTGCATCACCTGGAGAACAGAGGAGGGATGCAATTATGTGTGTCTGAGGAAAAGAGGGATGGTGTAAAAAGACAAGTAAGTCTGATAACTTACTTACTGAGTCATAAAGGATTATGTTCAGTTGTGAGAGTAGTGAGAGAATACTAACACACAACAATGTATGTGTACTTCACAGCGTACTATTTATTCTTCACTCCAGTTAATACTAACCGATGCCCGGGGCCCCAGCCTTGCAGCAGTAGTGCAGAAGGCTCATATCTGTCAGTCCGTCTCGATCATTCACACCACAGCCTCTCTTTAAGATCTGTGCAGACAAGATATATAGCGTCATCGTGTTATCCTCTCATCTCACGAACACTGATCTGATAAATGAAGTGAGCAGCACATCTCATAACTTTACTCATCTTCAAATCTGGAGCAGAATTGTTACATTAACCAACATTGAAACAAGGCATCTGTTTCTAAAGCTAGAAGTTATTAAGTGAGAAAAAAATATGTTGTGCTTCCTGCAAAACATAACTGCATTGCAGATACTATTGTCGAGTGGAGGTAGTTTGGGAACAGTTGGTAGAGCTTCCACAAACAACCATAAAATAGATTCAGACTATCGTTGTTGCTTTTTAAAAGTATCAAAGTACAGATAGAGATGTAATTCGCCAGTATTAGTATGATAAATAAAAAGGATGCATCACCTCATTGCCAATGAGGTCAATATTCTTCTGAACCTGGGGCACCCACTGCCTGAGGACAGCGAACAGCTCTGGGATTGTGGTGCTGGGATCCAGAAGAACCTCCCTACACTGCAGCTCACTGGGGTCAAAGAAGGAGAACTCTGGAGGTGGTAGGAAAGAGAAAAACAAAACAAACATCTCCAATGTGATTTAAATTCACCATATGAGCTCCATGTTCCTTTTTCTCCGTGCATGTGAAGAAAAGCATGTATAAAACCCTTCTGCACAGACATACATTAACTTACTGCAGCAGACAGCTCAATCTGTTCAGTCATATTACTGATATTGGGAAATGCCCTTGCCGTGCCTGCAGAGGCTAATGAAATCAGATGTGACTGTGGATGGAGCATTAGAGACCGTGGTTGAAAACAAATAAGCTTTGCCTACAACCTACAACAGAGTGTGCCTTCCTGTCAGGATCATCATTATTTCAGAGTGTATTTTTACTGCCAGAATATTGATTAGTCACCTAATGCTGCACTAATCGATTGATTCAGAAATTACTGATGAAGTGTTCAATTTGTCATCAGCTGATTATTATTAACTACATGATAAAAAATGCTTTGGAAACAGTTTCCAAATCGTGTGAGAGCAGTTCTGCATCATGTGTATTTATTGAAATGTCACACACCTCCCTGGGTGACGTAAGCACAAAATGAGGGCATTTATGTGCACGTGTGTGTTGATCCTCACCATAGTCACTGGGCATGGGTGCGGAGGCCACCAGGTGGATAACCGTGCGCTGATGGGAAGACAGTCTGGTGTCACAGCCCAGGACGGTCTCTCCATCCACAGGCTCTGAAACATCCTCCTTTGTCATCTCCCCCTCAGGGCCTGTGGCTGCAACGATATTAGAAATCCTATTCTGAGCATACAAGTGGGTCTAATTACAAGGAACCAATGAGAACTACGCTTCTTTTGTGAGGAGACTCAGGTTTTTAGGTGACCTGACAACACCCTGCTAAAACAGTGAGCTCTTGAGTACTAACAGTTAGTAATGTATCCTACTCCGAAAACTGCATCTGACTAAACCTCAAACTGACTTGGATAAAATGTATTCATTAAATAAAATATCATAACACACATCCTTAATATTGGGGGTATTCTTATTCGCTATACATTTATTTAATCAAAGACATGAAGTGAAACAAACTAGACAAAGTACAGTGATTTCACAATTTCATGATTTCATGTTACAGTATTGCAGCTTCTGATTCTTCTGATAAATTGAATATTTAAATTGCAATAAAACATTCAAAGTTGCATTACACATTTTATATGCTGTGGTATTTTGACAGATTAAAGCTTCAGTGCGTAGAATTTTGTGATATCTAGTGTTGAATTGTATGTTGCAGCTGAAGACTCGACCTCCCCTTCCAAACATGAAAGAGAACCTGTGGTAGCCTTCAGTTGTCATAAAAACTCAAAAGGTTTTACTGTTGTCCAGTTTGGACGACAGTGAAAAACATGTCCGCCTCCACAGAGCGGACCCCCTCCATGTAAATATAAAGTACTTAAATATAAATGGTCTTTTCTGGGGTAAAGAAAACTTCAATTTAGAAACTAACTAACAAACTAGTGAAAACATCATAAGGATTATTCTGCATTAAATTTCTGCCAATAGTTCCCTTTCACTTAAATCTTACACACTAGACCTTTAAGCAATTCAGCAAACAGGAGGGTGCATACTGGGGCTGTGTGCAGTCCAATGCAGAACTAAATACTTGAGGATTATAGGTAAAGACAGATCTAAGCTGCCAAACCAACAAGATGATCTGATATACAGGACTAACTATATGACACTGTAAAAGAAAAACAGGAAGCAGAAACTTGAGACTGAGCACGGACCCACACAACAGCATTTTCGCAAATGGGGGAAACAGCTTTTGTCCCCAGTTGGACAAACTGTCAACAACTGATATTTAGTGTGAAATGTGTCCCAAAAACAGCCAATGAAAGAAACACTTGCAAACACCCAAGTCTGAAAATAAAATACTGAACATAATGTCTTCCCAACCAACACTCACTGTCATCCTCCTCTTCATCGTTTTTCTTGATGGTCTCCATGAGAGCCTCACAGACCAGCTAAAAGTTAAAATCTACAGACACAGACTGTCTCCACCCGAGCTGCTTCACACACCAACTTTCAAGCACAAAGAACATCTCAACCTCCAACAACACGATCCCTGTCTCTTGTTAGACCCTGTTGATCCTGCTTGATTCTTTTCCCACTCTAGTTGGAAGCAGACCTGCCCCTAACCTGTCTCTGACTGGAATAGGTTTAGACATGAAGGTTGACGATTTGTTGGAGTTAGGTGAGAATATCAGTGTAAGCCAATCAGAGGCAGAGAGTTGATCCTTGACTCCCAGGTCAAAAGCTATTCACAGCCTGGACACTTTCAAGGGACAGTGTTGTCACTTCTGACTCTCTCCAGCTGGAATGTCACTCTCACTTTCCTGCCAAGTGCACGACTGACCCCCCCACATCCTCTTCTGACAAGTAAACCATTAAGACACACAGTGCAGAGAATGTGGCTGTGGGGTGACAGTGCAAACACACACAGCTTTAAGGGCAGCAAAGTGGTGTTTGTGACTTTGACGAGTGTGCTTCACTGTAAAGGCCATTGTCCATCAGGCATTCACCCAGCTAAAGCAGCACTAAGAGACACTGGCTGTGGTGGCATACTGTTTTCAGCTTGGAAAGTTTCTAGTTAAATGAAAAGACCCAGAGGTATTTAAGTGGCAGCAATCGTAAGAGCTGGTTGAATTTCTTTAAATGCTCAGGAAAGGTGCTTCCTTTTTTATATTACTTCACATGGGATAGAGGGGATCATCCTTCTACGAAAGGAAAGGAAATCATGCTGCCCCGAAAAGGTGATGTACCATCTTACTTTCAGCTCAATATCTATTTTGTTATCAATTCCTATGAGTAATTGATAGTTATAATTCCCTTAATATAAACTTGTGACTATACTCTTGCTGTTTATGCTGCTGACAGAAGTGAGACGATAAGTTCCCTGTGCTTCTCTGAGGTCACTGACTGGCTATCCAGAGATTAGGACTTTGCAGTGTGACAATGTCCTAGTTAAGCAATAAGCCTCTTGTTTGTCTGACCAATGATGTCATCCTGCTCCCATCCTCACTGCTAATGCAGAGACAATACCATGACATATTTCAAACTGACCTCCTGAACGTTTCAGCACCCACTGCTTGATAGCACAGCAGCCGTTTAGACAAACTTGGAGTGTCTTTGAACACAACATTCATTTAAGCAGCAAAGTTTGTTGTCCAATATTCTTCATTGCCACATGCACAATAAAACCAGATGTCGCAAAGTACAATGAAATTCCTACTTTGCTAGTCCCCAATGGCACAGAAATAAAGATTAAACATTAAAAACAATTAAACACAAAAGATAAAAGGTCAAGCTTACTAATAAAATAAAATAAAACATGATTTATGCTAGATATTCTAATTTTCAACCAAGCCTAAAATTATGAGGATTTTGGCAGAAAGCAAGTGGTAGGGGGCTTCATCAGGGGGTTTCCAACTACGATGTTAATGCAGCCTCCGGTACATAGCCGATCATAGAATTAAAGAGGTTCTGGCAAAATTGTCGATGCTGTGGATCAGCTGTTTTCAGGGGCCCCCTTTTAGCTTGGGGGCCACAGCCAACTTCTTCCTTTGTCCAGTCTGTTGCAATGTCCCTGGTTGTAGGATTGTGGCAGTGCATACAAGCATTCATTCACTATGAGAACAGAAAATAATTATAAATCAAGCTCATTGCTTGATCCATAATTTCTGACAAAGATTGATACACTTGATCTCAGGACCATCCTGACTGTTCACTCACTCAGTATCAAGCATATTTACTGTATATCAAGTGTACAAACCTTTGTCAGAAATTATGGATCAAAGAGATTTTACTGTAGAGTAAATATTGCGCATAATGCATTTTTCAATTCAAAATAATGAACTTTGAGGCTGAACTGCTCCAAAATGATACAGTAAATATGCTTGAAGGGATTTTACAGTAGAGTAATAGGTTTGCTCGCTCCGTATCATGCATTTGCCATACATTCTGTAATACGGGCGCACTTGAAATCAGGAAAAGACGAACGTCTGCTCACTTGACCGCAGTGTCAAAATGTCTGCTGTGAAAAGGGCTTTTTATCCTAAGCAGATGATCATTTGTGTTATTAATCCATGCAGTCACCCTCAACAGAGCTCTCCTTCATGAATAACTGAGAACACCTGTATGCACCCAAATCATTTACAGGCTTCACCTCAGACTAGTTTTTCACAAATAGCCACATGAATATGTCTGGATATAAACAGATGTGCACACAGTGCAGCAGCGGACACGGTGCTGGTGGACATATCACCACACTGGGCTGACTGACGCTCACTTTCTCAAGCTTTAGCCTGGATCTCTGCTGTAGCAGTTAGCTAGCGGTGCAGCTGAGGAGGCAGACCCGGGGAGCAGCGACGACCACTCCCTCCTCTCACACGCCTGTGATGCTAGCTCATCACAGGTTCTCTCCTGGTTAACTTCTGCCGCTGACACAACTCAGCCCAGCGAGCTGACAGGGAACTGTTAGCATGTTCCAAAGGCTCTGGTGCGCACACACACACACACTGACCACACAGGTGTTTCTACTGCAGCCTGGGGTTACGGAGTGAGCAGCCCGAGGTTCAATGCTCGTGAATTGTGGATAAACTTGTGCGGAGAGATGATGAAGCGCCTCCTCGCGTTAGCTGCGATGTGACTGATATCCAGCCCGAATATTAGCCCGAACCTCCCGAACTGCTTCGAACCCGCGTAGCGACAGGAGAGAGGGGTGAGTCACACAGTTATGAGGCGAGGTGTTCAGCACAGTGCGGCGGAAGACGTCCATGTTACCTTGACCTTGCCGCTCGTCTCAGGTCGCTCATGAGGAAAATGATCAGAGATCCAGAGGAATGAATTCCGTCAGTGGTGTTTAAGCTGTGTGACTACACGACATCCGGTGTCAGCTGTCAGAATAAAGGGCCTTCATTGTGCACTTCCTGTCTTCAGAATAAATGTGATGAAACCATAGACTGTATAGGATGAAACTATGATTAAAAAAAATTATAATAAAACACAGACTGTTTGAATAACATGGTATAGTTCTCATGCAAAGATTACTTACTGAATTACTTCTTACCACCACTCACCTTACTGTCTCATCTAATCTATTTTATTTTTACTATATTACTATTGGCGCTGGTTCTGCATTTACTCTGTACACACTTTATATTTTCAATTTCTTTCCTACACCTACTAATCTACTTTTTATTCTCTGTAGTCTATTGTTTATTGTATTTCTGTAATCTTGGATCAGCATTAATAAAGTCTATCCTATGTTACATAAATAGCATTTCCAGATAACATGTTATTTTAAATATGTTAGGAATTTTTACATGTACAAATATTATACGTCTAAAACAGTGAATTGTATATAAAAATATGAAATGTAAAAAAATATATATTTTGTTACATTTTGTTTTATTCATCTTGGAATTCACAGAGTTAGACAGTGGATGCAGATATATTTAAGCCCAAAACCTGTCTTCTCATAAACTGCCATAGTCTCTCCATCCAGCAGATGGTAATTTCCCAGGGGTAGCGTGGGAACATATGGGATCCACTTCCCATGGACGACCATTCTGAGAGGCCATATTCAGGGAGGGCAGCACCACTGACAGATACCGGTGTTCATTCAACCTGAAGAGCCTGCAGCACATGTGAAAGCCTCTGTCTCGTCCTCTCTGGTTGACATTAATCTCACTTGTTCAAGCAGTCACAGCATATTCATTTTTTCCTTCAGCACCTGTCACTGCTTTTTTGGCTATCCAGGGCAGAAGTGCCTATATGTCAACAGTCAACTGAGCAATGGATATGATGATGCTGATGAAAGGTCTCCTCAAATTATGCAGTCATGAATGAGAACTCTTGACATTAAGGCCAAAAATAGGCACAATAAGTTACAGATGATTTAATGGTAGCACTGTTCACAGGTTAATTCATTGGATTTGTTTTACTTAAATGTGAAGTGTGGTAACAAAATATGTAGTAGATTTTTTAAATTGTCTTGATTTCGATTTTAATTATTTTGGTTTAAGATTAAAAATCAGTTGCTACAACAACGCCATTCTGAAAAAAGCACATCCCAGACTTCTCATTTTGAGACAGTAGAAAAATTCTTACCTTTGCAATAACTATGTGTTTTGGAAATATGTTAGCAGGAGGAGAGGCAACTGAAAAAGGTGCTGCGTGCTGCATCCGAAATCACTTGGTGTGTTCAACCACCATTATAAACCTACAAGGCCAGACTACAAAAGGCCTCATATCCAACAAACTGCCTTTTTTCATCATGAAAAGTATGAAGACAAGAACAAACACATTCCAGGGGAGTAGCCACTTATCCCAGAGCTGTCCACCTGCAGAACACGGTGGCTCTGTAGGACACTCAGAAGGTTTGTAGATCTATATTTTCACTGTGCACTTATGAACTATATCTTGTGAGTGTCAACAGTTGATAATCGCTGCTGATTATTTCCCCACTGAACATATACATAGATGGAGAGATAAATAAATAATTGTAGAAATACATTTCTGAATACATTTATAAATACATACATTATAAATAAATGTTGGCATGAATTAAAAAATATTTGCAATAACAATTGTATGAATAAATGGATGGATGTATAATGCAGGTTTCACATGTAACCTGTGTGGTCTGTTTTATTGTGAAAGTGTTACTCAGCTGGTGAAAACAGTGTGATGTCTATGGTTCGAACACCGTCTCCATGGAAACGTGCAACAAAACTCCTGCAGTGATTGTGTCTCTGGTCACTGACGCGTGGAAACCAGGGTTTACTGTGACTCCTTTATGCGCAACTCTTAGTCTGTCTGACTTAACGATCAGCCGCATTTAGTCATCGACCATGGACCTGAACAATGTGAGACGAGCCTCCTCTGCAGGATACCGCTTACCGGAGCGATCCAACGGAGCCAGGCCGACAATTACGCAGCCTCCAGCGGACAGGACGCGGCGCGCTAAGGGAGGAGACCCGGTGTGTGTGGAGCAGAGTCCGGCCAGAAGTGATCCTGCGACCCGGGACCAGCTGTGGAGAGAGCTGGTGTGGAGTGAGAGGAGAGGCCTGAGGGAATGGTCAGTGTGGACTTTGTTTTTAACACGTGTTGTTGGTAAGAATCTCAAGGACTGGGCAATAAAATTACATCTATATGCAATTCAACAAAAGCTCAGTATATATTGATATACTGCATGTCTTTGCTTTATGCGAGCACAGAGAGGAGTTATATCCATTCATTTTTTAATGATCACCCTTTGTTGTGTAGAATGTTTTGCTGTTTATCAAGTGTTTGTCATTCTCTGCTCATAAAGACTAGTTTAAAACCACATCCCTCACTCAGCAGCAGTCTTTAAACCCGAAAAACAATAATAATGTCACATTTATCATAATAACTATGGACTGATATGAATATTTTCATATTGATGACCAGCCCAAAGCTTAGTGGACTCATCCTAACAAATACATTGTGGTCCACAGGGAGAAGAACTGGAGCTTTCTCAGGGACTATGATCAGATGGTAAGAAACATTTTCAGATATTCCAAGCTAAAATTTACAACACAAAAATAAAAAAGTGGACTGAAAACATTAAAAAACTGTCGATTCATGTCGCTATTCTTGTTTCTGGTTCATTCGTGTTACACAGGTAATGAATAACCAGTACAAGAAGAGAAAGCACGGAGAGAAAAACAAGCACCAACAAGCAAAGATCCGCTCATATTGGTTTTAATCTGTACAGCAATCAGCACCAAACTGATTAAATATCTGAAATGTGTAACAGCAACCAACAGAAACATATACGATACAGAGACCCATATTTACTATCCATGTATCCATGTGATGATATTTGAATCTACTTTGTACACATTTTAGTCCTTTCTTGATAGATGAGACCAAAAAGTGAATTTATTCCAAGCTGAACATCACAGCAAACCTCTGCCTGTGCTTTGACCCCTGTGTCTCTGCAGGGACAGCTGAAGCCAGAGGAGCCATTGCCCAGCTACACATCACTCTTCTCCGATCGCGTCCCCAACACCACCACCCAGATGCTCGGTAGCAAACTGTCCACTCCACACGGGAGAGAACTGGTCAGACTGGACCGGCTGCTGCTCTGGTCTGGGAGCTATCACAAGAGCAAGAAGGATCCAGAGATGCTGCCCAGCTAGATCACTCTGGAGACGATCTAGGATCTCTGAACATCAGGTTTTATCTTTATCTCTCAGCCAGGACTCTGCAAACTTCACAAATATGTCACACTCAAGTGAGTTTACATTTACTGTTGTGGGGGTTTTAGTTTAAAGTCAAGTACAGACATGTACATAGAAGCCATATTTGCTGTCCTACATCAGCTAAGTTTCCAGATAAGTCAATCATTCATTGATCATATTTTAGTTCATACACAGAAACTGTGTAATGTATTGTGTTAAAGATATTCACTCACCAAATAAAGACAGATGAGATGGCGGATCAAACTCGTGTCATCTGAGCTCCATCAACTATTTAACCACATACTTGATAATTTAACAAGAGACCTAATCAAACTTGGATGAGTTTCAAGGTTGTATCGCCTCCACATTTCTCTGTTGTGTCTACTCAAAAAGGCAGGGACCCAGAAACAAGCAAAACAAAGAACAAAATAGAAAACATAAAGCTTAAAAGTATGCAAAGGGATGTAGAGCTCAAAAAAGGCAACATAGCATATCGAATAACATCAGCTCCATCGATCAATTTAACATTTTAATTCTTTTGTTTACTGATGCTGTTGGAATATATTTTATTTTGGTGATAAAGTGGTTTTATTTTTTTAGTTAAAAAAAGTAAAACACTGTTTACATGTTATTCAGGACCTAAGCCATTGTTCCACGGAACTTCACTAATTTTATTTTTGTGATTTTCAAAGAATGTTGTGTATCCACCTGAACTTTACAGGACAGGCAGCATACCTCGTGTGTTTGTGCTGTTGTAGCTGCCTGAAAAAAACACCATATGATGAAATGTTGTTGTAAATCACTGCCCCTTTGTCTAAATTTGAATGAAAATGTTGTTGCCTGGTGAATTAGAATACGTGATCTTCAGATGATCAAAGTCAACATCTCACTGGAATAAAGATTTTACCTTTTTAAAGTAAACTGCGTGTATTTTTTGTAGTGGTAATAGTGGATAATAGCGAAGGTTTAACGAGTGTGCCACGTCTTCAGCTCTGTTCCTCAGTTTCTTTGGGTTTTTTAACCTTTTACTCAAAAGACACCAATTCCTGAGGAAGCCCACTGCAGGGGGATCAGACCCGAGTGCAGGGGTGTCGCTGGATCAAGAATTGATGACACAAAACTTATCGTGGAGACTGAAAAACACCCAGAGCTCTATGACCACAAGTTTATTTCATTTAAAACTAGTTAAAAGATGAAAAACAATACTTTAATTACACCACATTACTAACTAATAATAACAACATTTTGAACAATAATAGTGTCCTTTTGTAATATTTAATTAAAACATCAGTGTAAAGGCTGAATGTGGAGTGATTCTAGGTTGAGTCTTGACAATGTGACAGATTATGTTTGACTTTGTTCTCGTGGTGTAGGTTCCACAACATTAAAGGACAGGAAGAGGCGAACAGAACACTGCGATTTCAAACTGTGCACAACGAGCCAATCAGATGCATGAATCAGCTCTCAGCGGATGTATGCGGAAGTGAGAGAGGATACCAGCTGGCAGGAAAAAATAAGAAAGGGAAGTGAAGAAGTTTGCCTTCAAATTAAAGGTCTCTAATTTTATTTTAAGACTTTTGCTTTTGTCTTACCCGTGATTTTGTTTTATACCCGCAGTTGCCTTAAAACCAATTCTGATTTTTTTCCAACCATGGCAATTTCACCAAACACATAATTATCGCAACTGTGGCACGAGATCCCATTTCAGGGTTACCTACTTTTATTTTGAAAGTGTAAAACGGAAGTTGTTTGAGAATGGTGTGAGTAGTCACTGCTGACAGTGCATCATCATCATCATCAGAAGCAGTAGCAGTAGCACATCTGGCTGTGAGAGTTAGAGTCCTCAGGGATCAGCCGGTGAACAGGTTGTGTGCGGACAGAAGATGGAGACGGACACGCTGTTGCACGTCGCTAACGTCAGCACGTTGTTTGTGTGCATGGTGCTGAAGTTCCCGCAGATCTTCGTGCTGATCAGAGTCAAGTCCTCCAGCGGAGTGAGCCTCCACAGCCTGCTGCTGGAGCTCACCGGGTAGGACTGTGTGTGTGTGTGTGT